TGATTGTAGGAGCCTGGTAGAACGTACCCACACACTGTATATAGTGATTGTAGGAGCCTGGTTGAACGTACCCACACACTGTATATAGTGATTGGAGGGAGCCTGGTAGAACGTACCCACACACTGTATATAGTGATTGGAGGGAGCCTGGTAGAACGTACCCACACACTGTATATAGTGATTGGAGGGAGCCTGGTAGAACGTACCCACACACTGTATATAGTGATTGGAGGGAGCCTGGTAGAACGTACCCACACACTGTATATAGTGATTGGAGGGAGCCTGGTAGAACGTACCCACACACTGTATATAGTGATTGGAGGAGCCTGGTAGAACCTACCCACACACTGTATATAGTGATTGGAGGAGCCTGGTAGAACCTACCCACACACTGTATATAGTGACTGGAGGGAGCCTGGTACCCACACACTGTATATAGTGATTGGAGGGAGCCTGGTAGAATGTACCCACACACTGTATATAGTGATTGGAGGGAGCCTGGTAGAATGTACCCACACACTGTATATAGTGATTGGAGGAGCCTGGTAGAACGTACCCACACACTGTATATAGTGATTGGAGGAGCCTGGTAGAACGTACCCACACACTGTATATAGTGATTGGAGGAGCCTGGTAGAACGTACCCACACACTGTATATAGTGATTGGAGGAGCCTGGTAGAACATTCTCACACACTGTATATAGTGATTGGAGGGAGCCTGTAGATATTTGGTTTGCATGTACCCATTCGGGTTTGTCCATGTGCTGTGCGATGTAGTGATTGAAATGTGAATCTTTTCTAGGTGTGGACACCCGTGCTCTCACAAAGAAGATCCGAGAGAAGGGCACCATGCTTGGGAAGCTCATTCCGGAGGGTATGGAAGAAAGTCAGATCCCGTATGTGGATCCTGGGAAGCAGAATCTGGTGCAGGAAGTGTCCGTGAAGGTGCGTGAATGTCTCATGAACAGGTTGTCAGCTCAGGCAGTGGTGGACAAACCATGTGTTATGCACAGATGGCCTGCCTGGCTTGTGATGGCACTCTTGGCATGGTGGTTGTCATAAAGAAGAAATAATGGGTGGCTTATGTGATTTAGATTTTTATTTTTTTGCTCAGTGCTTATTGATCTGTGCAGGGAATAGATTTAATGTCCTTAACCCACAGGAGCTGCTTGTATTATTCTAGATATAGAACCTTTTAATACGTTTCTCACATGTTCGCTTGTTAATGTACTATGCCTGATGGACACTTTAATCCTATATTGTCATATTTGTGTATTTACAGGACCCCCGTGTGTTCAATGCTGGAGCTTCAGTAAAGATTGCTGTGTTGGACTGTGGTCTGAAGTACAACCAGATTCGCTGCTTGTGTCAGAGGGGGGCTGAGGTGACAGTGCTTCCCTGGGACCATGCTCTGGACCCTGCAGGTCTCTCTAAATATTCCCCCATATCCGTTGTTTTTACTGCATTCTATCCACAGAGCACAGAGAATCGATGTGAGGAACTCTCTAAACTTCCAATGGAAGCCAACGCATGTCCTGTGTACTCGTTAAATCACAAAAGGCTGGTCTTTAACGAGCTTACTCTTGCTTGTTGTGTCCCATTAGAGGCACACGCTAAGCACCAAAACTACTACATCTGAGTGTTGTTGACTTGGTGCAAAAACAATGTCCTGCAGCCTGACAAATGTAAACGTTGCCGTTTAAGAGAAAAGCCAATTCCTAAAGACCTTCTGGAAACAAGCCCATGGTGATGTCACTAGATATTGAAAGTTCTGCTCTTTGCAGCACATGTACAATAAGTGCCCAATGATTCTAAGAGAAGCATTGCACTGGCCTCATATCAGAATGTTGATCTCACAGTGGGTGGTGCGTCTGCCATGAGACAGATGGCATTGGATCAAAAGGGAGTCTTAATTTCCCGATGGGGTTCTGACTCTAAATGTTAAACACACCAAGCACCAGTTCCCTGGCACCCTGTAAAAGTAGTCAGGCCATCTAAGAATGGTTTGACAAGGTACCTGGGGTTCACAGGGTGCAGTTCTCCTCCTCCTTCTCCTCTGCAGCCCAGAATTCTCCTGCATTGAGCTAAGTCTGGCGTTACAGGGAGGCTAGCAATGGCTGAGAGCACCTACCTGACTCCAGCACTATACAGCTAACAGAAGCTTCTCTCAGGAGGTTGACAGCAGGTACGTTTTCAAACACTTACAGCTGGAAGGTTCTAAGACACTCCTGGCACCATAACCACTGGAGCTGGCTTTTGGAGTGTTCTTTTGATAGTAAAAACTTTTACTTCTATAAATATATAATTTTCCTTTAACTTATTGGCTGATGAGAAAAGTCTTAATTTTGATCTATTTCTGGTTTTATTTAAAACTTTTGTTCATATTTTCTCATCTGCCGTCTGTAACCTCTTACTTTGTTTTGTCAGGATTCGATGGGCTGTTTATCAGTAACGGACCTGGGGACCCTGTATTCTGCCAACAGTCCATACACAACATTAAACAATTCCTTGCCGGAGACAGTCCTAAACCCCTGTTTGGAATCTGTTTGGGGCATCAGATCCTCTCGCTGGTTATTGGGGCGAAGACTTTCAAGATGAAGTAAGTCACAAATCTTTATCAGAAAAAATGCTTTCATTTATCTAAACCTATGTTTAGACACAATTCATGCAAGAGTCACAGGTTTGAGGTGAGAATAAAGTGAGTTTGAAATTTAAGGCCCATATAGTCTGTAACGGCTACCCAGCTCGGAAGGGGTACCTGCCGTTGGAGACGTCCTTTTCTAGGCAAGCTGCTGTGAAGTAATGGAGTTCTTATTCCCATCCATGATATCCAAGAGTACAATCAGGCATCGCTGTAAAATGAGGCAGAGTAACGGTACCATAAATCCCCTCCAAGAACGAGACGAGGCTACGATTTGAAGGGTCAAGTAGAACTGATGTTTATTGACAGGGGTCTCCTTTTATGCAATGGTGCCCTGGAAAAGGCTACACCCACATAATTAATACAGCAACCAATTATACACATGGTACAACCCCCACGTCTCCTCCCCTCAGATAAACCTGTAACATAATTAAAACAGACACAATTTTAACCACATTCTGGATGTACCCCCAAAACAGAGGGTACACCTTTAAATCGCTTGATAGCTCTAATTTAGGGGAACAACATATCAAAATTCCAGCTCATTTGGTTGAGGGGTTCGGGAGTTATGGGTCTTTGAAGTTTTGACCGACCGCACAGATTCTCTAGCCGAAAAGAGTTCCATAAGTTTTGGCCTTGCGGTCGGTCTCCGTTCATGCATTAAAACCCACGAACCCCTTGCCATCCACAGTCATCCTGGTGTTCGCTGGAATCCCTATGAGAGCTTAAACAAAACTACAGAACAGCCGGTTGTACGGTAGTTCCAGCACGAACTTACGAGCTCCTGGAGGTCTCAGCGGTGTTCGCCTGTTTGCGTATCCGATTTTAGTTCCATGCGTTCACAGGCAAACACCGCTGTTCGTGCGTAAGATGGCCGCGAACACGTGTAAGGTCCCGAAATGGCGGCCATCTAACCTGAGCACAAAGGATTCGTGTGAAACCATACGAACGGCTCCAAAAGCGCTGGGAGGTAAAATACCACTTAACTGTGCCCCTGGGTGGTCCGATGTTCGGTAGTTTGAGCTGCATTCTCCGGTAATGGTATCTCCCATGAAATAGTTATTCGGTTTTTAATAAATCCAACTGTATTGATAAATAAGTCCAGGCACAAGCATAGTTCTGTTACATAGTCAAACAAGAAAATCCTTAAATCCAAGGTGCAACCCATTCTACTGTTTGTCCTGAAATTCGGGATCCACTTTGTATCCCCAGAAAATGTCACTATTCGTGAGTATTCTGGTCAGAGTATAGTGATAGCATGTGTGTATATGAGTAAAGTTCAGAAACAAGCTGATAATCTAATGAAATGGTGATCTCTAAATACTTCTGTAGTATATTCGTTATATTAACGTGTCATGGCCATCTTGGTTTTCTGTGTCGTTGTCCTACAAAACCTAGACTGTAGTCTATTCACACATCGGTGAGTTACTGCTGTTGAAATAGTCCTGACGTGTGTGCTTGGATTATGACCTTGGCACGGTTTACTGATATTAACTCTCCTTAGTTTACAAGGTTTGTTGGCAAACTCTCCTTGTGGCGTCACTAAACGTAGCGGGAGTGCATTTCGCAATGTTATCATTTAATCTCTGTCCAATCTGTAATATGCGAACCATGCTTGCTAAATCAGAAGCCTCTTCTACATCTTTTATATTGCGTGAAAGGTTTAGGATAGTGCTGGTGTAAGTGTTAAAGTAGTCTAGGGGTTAATATGCACGGGTCGAACCACCTGATTTACCATCCAAAAATGCTGCCTCTGGATATACTAACTGTACCCGCCACCAGGGCGCAACGTTCTTACAAATTAACACCCAAATACCAACACCATAACCACTACTGCTCGCTGTAGGTTTTAGTTAATATGCTACCACTAATGAGACTTTATATGGACCATTTGTAGTTCCCCTTAAATTTGTACATCAGCCCTGACCCTTCTCTCATTGACTGTGCGTAATATACTCTGTGGGGACCGATCCCTCTCTCCTGGGCTGCAGTTAATATATTCGATGGAATACAGACACCTCTCTCATGTGGTAATATACTCTGTGAAATACAGACCCCACTCTCCTGTGTGTAATATCTGTGGATATTCCCCATATAAAGACCACCCTAAATCTCTTATACAGCAAATTCCAGAGACCTCATGGTACAGAATAGCAAACACCATCTGTTCTGTTTAACCCATTAGACAGCCACACCTTAATATGTATTTGAATAGGAACATATAGAATATGCAATATTCTACAAATACAGACCCCTCTCTCCTGGGCTCTGGGTGGAGGATAAACCGCTCTCTTCTGGTAATATACTCCGGTGTAAGAATCTCTTCCTCCCAGTTTTTCACATGTACAAAGAGGGACACTTTAAGTTTAGAGGAGTGGTCAGGTGTGAGAGATCTGGGAGTGGAATTGTGAGTGGGGGGTGGCCATGGGCAGAGTGTTCTGACTTTCTAATAACAATTTATAGAACTAAAATCTAAGTTAGAAGAACAACAATGTATCTTATTTACAGAGACTGATTTCTAATCATATTGTAGTTTAAAGACACATTACTGGGAGTATTATTGCTGTGGAGCTCTGTTATATACTCAGACACATTACTGGGAGTTTTATTGCTGTGGGGTTCTGTTATACACTCACACATTACGGGGAGTATTATTGCTGTGGAGCTCTGTTATACACTCAGACACATTACTGGGAGTATTATTGCTGTGGAGCTCTGTTATACACTCACACATTACTGGGAGTATTATTGCTGTGGAGCTCTGTTATACACTCACACATTACTGGGAGTATTATTACTGTGGAGCTCTGTTATACACTCGGATACACTAACAGTGAGGAACTCCTAGAAAAGAGGGTCCCAAAATAGGCATTGTCCCTCCTAAATAGACTCTTGTGAACGTTTTTTACTTTTTTAACTTACTGGTGATGTCTTCTTCTTAGATATGGAAACCGAGGTCACAATCAGCCTTGTATCCACGAGGGTTCCCAGCGCTGTTTCATTACTTCCCAGAACCACGGTTATGCTGTGGACCCGAGCACGTTGCCAGACGGCTGGTCCGCTTTGTTCACCAATGCGAATGACAAGACTAATGAGGGTATAGTCCATGACAGCAAGCCTATATTCAGGTGAGTAATGCAAATAAATACAAAGTAAATTCAGCTTTCGCTATAAAAGTCGCGTGTTAGACCTACGCGCCCGCCGGCAGGCTTAGCCGTGTAGCAGATGTCAGGTGGCCAGGAGCATATTTTGCCCTGAAATGTCATAAACTGCAGTTTGGGATTTGCATGAAAGCCTCGGGCTGTTACCTGCTTGTGGCATTTAGTAATCTGTGCATTGTGCGGCCTGTGCTGCAGTAAGTATCCTCTGTCCTTCCTTCCGCTTGTTATTGGCTCCAGCTGGTGTCTTCCTCTGTCGTCTCCCCAATTTCCCTTCATTACAGATTAAGTTAAGCACCAAAACCTACACAGAATTCAGAGTTTAAAAGTACAGCTTTACATTTTACAAGGCTACTTCAAATCTCGTATCTCCGCAAACAAATCTGGAGGTTCAGTTCCACCGTGTGGAACCACTATCACTTTAATGGTTTAGGTTTAAAAAAATTTGAGTTGCGTTCATCACATTCATTTTGCTTTTTATATATATATATTCACAATGGGGGGTCCAGTGATGTAGCGGTGGGCTTAACACAATATGGCCGTATGGTGGAACTGAATCCCCATGTTTACCTGGAGATACGAGATTTGACGTAGCTTTGTAAAATGTAAAGCTGTACTTTTAAACTCGGTATTCTGTGTAGGTTTTGGTCACTACGGCAGCACCAGTCCTGCAGAATGCTCGTTACAGCTGTGCCCCCAACTCCCTTTTTGTCTTTACTAACAAAACACGTTTGACATATGGAAACAGTTGGTAAAGAGGGACCTGACCAAATGAGCTTACAATCTAAAAGGATGTTAGACAAGTACACAGATGGAAAGGAGGGAATTCAATGAAGGGGAATTGGGGAGACGGCAGAGGAAGGGTGAAATGGATGAGTAGCCTTGTAAAATGTGAAATTTATTTTTGTGTACTTAACTTAATCTGTAAAATATATATATATTACACATTTTGTTAGACTTGTCTCTTGTTTTACAATATTATATATAATTTTACAGCGCTGCAGTGAGTGTTGGCACTATATAAGTAACTGTAATAGTGTTTGAAGGTTCTGTTTTGACACTGGTTGGGTGTCTTGCATTATAACCGTTAATGTTTCTGGTTTTGTAGTGTTCAATTCCACCCAGAGCATTGTGCAGGGCCCATGGATCTGGTGTCACTGTTTGATGTGTTCTTGGATACCGTACGGGATGTGAAGGCTGGGGCAGTGGAAGGCAGAACAGGTTAGTGACAGCCACGGTTTATCTCAAGAATCTGATTGTCCTGCTCTGAGTTCCTAAAGTCTTGACTTTTCATTTTCCACCAGTGAAGCAGCGTTTGAGAGATCTTCTCACGTACAAACACAACCCGAATGTTTCTGACCTAGAAAAGTTTCGCCCCCGCAAGGTGCTGATCCTTGGCTCTGGGGGCCTGTCGATTGGTCAGGCTGGGGAGTTTGATTATTCTGGATCCCAGGTACAATTTAGTACTCTATTTCGGAATGGCAAACCATGATTTTTATTTCTGTAACAAATTTTGCATGTCCCGTAGCTTCCTTCTGTTTGTCAGCAAGTGACTGGTATTGTGGGGTTTATCCACCTTGGAATAGTGATTTGATTTACTTTTAGTGGTATCCCTCTCTTTCAGGCCATTAAAGCTCTGAAGGAGGAGAACATACAGACTGTGCTCATTAATCCCAACATTGCCACAGTGCAGACATCGAAAGGCCTGGCAGACAAAGTGTATTTCCTGCCACTGACCCACGACTATGTAACTCAGGTCAGTATCTCCCTTCCTAGAGAGGCTGGATGGTATGCCGTTCTGCAATGTCATAACTGATCCCGCTTCCTTCAGGTGATAAAGAACGAACGTCCAGATGGCATTCTGCTAACGTTCGGTGGTCAAACGGCGCTGAACTGTGGTGTGGAACTGACAAAGCGTGGTATTCTGGAGAAGTACAATGTGCGGGTCCTTGGCACTCCAGTGTCCTCTATAGAAATGACAGAAGACAGGAAGATTTTTGTAGAGAAAATGGAGGAGATTGGGGAACATGTGGCCCCTAGTGAGGCTGCCTTCTCCTTGGAGCAGGTAAGAGAACATGGGCTCGGCGTTGTTATCTTTGGCAAATCACAGCAAATTACTGGTCCCTGAGTGGTTATTGGGGTGCTATCATTGCATGGTGCACATTTCTCATTGCTCTCTCTCCCTTTTAGGCTCAGGCTGCTGCCGATCGTCTTGGGTATCCGGTTCTGGTTCGTTCGGCCTATGCATTGGGGGGATTGGGCTCCGGGTTTGCCAACACGAAAGAAGAGCTGACTGCTTTGGTTTGCCAGGCTTTTGCCCACACCACTCAAGTTCTGGTGGACAAATCTCTGAAGGGCTGGAAGGAAATTGAGTATGAGGTTGTGAGAGACGCTTACAACAACTGTGTGACGGTGAGCAGCCACGTGGCGCGTGATTGGGTCCTGGGAGAGAGGGTACAGAGCCATTGTGTGTTCTAATAAAGAATAAACTTGCAAAGAGAATGTCAAGTTACGGTGCGGCAAAAAAACAAAACAATCATTGTAAATGTTAAAAGAACACTCCACACCCATAACCTTGCTAAACATTTCAATTGTTTTGTGGTGTCTCTTCTCATTTTTTTCAAGAGATATTAACATTTATATAAAAGCCCTTCGTACTGCCTGCTTTTCTTTAAAATAACACGAAAGAGATGATGCTTTCTGTGAGGGATTAAATGCTTTACGAGAAGCATTCAGTTGGTGCACTACGGTGATTTCCCTCCCCCCCCCTCCCGGTTTCTCTCTATGGGGGAGATTGCACCAAGGAGACTGAATCACGACTGGAGAAAAGGGTGGCAGGTTTATACATTTTAATTTTATTTTTATTCCTATCTTTTTACAGGTGTGTAACATGGAGAATGTGGACCCCCTTGGTATTCACACTGGGGAGTCCATTGTGGTGGCTCCAAGTCAGACTCTGAATGACCATGAGTATAACATGCTGCGTGACACAGCCATTAAAGTCATCCAGCACCTGGGCATCGTAGGCGAATGCAACATTCAGTACGCTCTGAATCCGGAATCTGAACAGGTAACTAGCAGAGGGTCAGTACATAACCACACACACAGTGTCTGAGCCGGGGTCAGTACATAACCACACACACTGTCTGAGCCGGGGGCTGTACGTAACCACACACTGTCTGAGCCGGGGGCTGTACGTAACCACACACTGTCTGAGCCGGGGGCAGTACGTAACCCCACACACAGTGTCTGAGCCGGGGGCAGTACGTAACCCCACACACAGTGTCTGAGCCGGGGGCAGTACGTAACCCCACACACAGTGTCTGAGCCGGGGGCAGTACGTAACCCCACACACAGTGTCTGAGCCGGGGGCAGTACGTAACCCCACACACAGTGTCTGAGCCGGGGGCAGTACGTAACCCCACACACAGTGTCTGAGCCGGGGGCAGTACGTAACCCCACACACACTGTCTGAGCCGGGGGCAGTACGTACGTAACCCCACACACAGTGTCTGAGCCGGGGGCAGTACGTAACCCCACACACAGTGTCTGAGCCGGGGGCAGTACGTAACCCCACACACAGTGTCTGAGCCGGGGGCAGTACGTAACCCCACACACAGTGTCTGAGCCGGGGGCTGTACGTAACCCCCCCCACACACACACACACGCACACTGTCTGAGCCGGGGGCTGTACGTAACCCCCCCCCCCACACACACACACACACGCACACTGTCTGAGCCGGGGGCTGTACATAACCACACACGGTCTGAGCCGGGGGCTGGCCAGTACATCATAACTTCGTACTCTGTGTAACAGCAGTTTGTCTCTACCCTTCCACGTTCAATCATGTCTAAAGTATATTTAGAGCCACTAATGGTTTGTGAATTTTGTCTGATTTTTGCTTCTTTCCTTGCGCAGTATTACATAATTGAAGTGAATGCCCGACTGTCACGCAGTTCTGCTCTTGCAAGTAAAGCCACTGGATACCCTCTGGCATATGTGGCCGCCAAGCTGGCACTGGGAATACCACTGCCCGTTCTCAGGTACTGCACCAGCCATTGCTACCTTTGGCAACATATAACCCAATTATTCACATTTTAAAGTAGCTGAAATTGAGCTTTTTTCCTTCATTCTCTGCAGGAATTCTGTCACTAATTGCACCACAGCCAACTTTGAGCCTAGTCTGGACTATTGTGTGGTGAAGATTCCCCGCTGGGATCTTAGTAAATTCCTCCGAGTCAGCACCAAGATTGGGAGCTCCATGAAAAGTGTTGGTGAGTGACTGACATGTGGAGGGGATCACTCGGTCAAAACACAGGTTGTGTTTCATTGAACTCCAAGGGATGGATTGTTTCATAGTCACTGCGTTAGTAAAGGTAGCTCACAGAGCTGGGTCACTGCATTAGTAAAGGCCACTCAGAGCTGGTGTCACTGCATTGGTAAAGGTCACTCAGAGCTGGGGTCACTGCGTTGGTAAAGGTCGCTCAGAGAGCTGGGGTCACTGCGTTGGTAAAGGTCGCTCAGAGAGCTGGGGTCACTGCGTTGGTAAAGGTCGCTCAGAGAGCTGGGGTCACTGCGTTGGTAAAGGTCGCTCAGAGAGCTGGGGTCGCAGCATTGGTAAAGGTCGCTCGGTGAGCTGGGGTCGCAGCATTGGTAAAGGTAGCTCGGTGAGCTGGGTCGCTGCGTTGGTAAAGGTAGCTCGGAGAGCTGGGTCGCTGCGTTGGTAAAGGTAGCTCGGAGAGCTGGGTCGCTGCGTTGGTAAAGGTAGCTCGGAGAGCTGGGTCGCTGCGTTGGTAAAGGTAGCTCGGATAGCTGGGTCGCTGCGTTGGTAAAGGTAGCTCGGAGAGCTGGGTCGCTGCGTTGGTAAAGGTAGCTCGGAGAGCTGGGGTCGCTGCGTTGGTAAAGGTAGCTCGGAGAGCTGGGGTCGTTGCATTGGTAAAGGTAGCTCGGTGAGCTGGGTCGCTGCGTTGGTAAAGGTAGCTCGGAGAGCTGGGTCGCTGCGTTGGTAAAGGTAGCTCGGGGAGCTGGGGTCGCTGCGTTGGTAAAGGTAGCTCGGAGAGCTGGGGTCGTTGCATTGGTAAAGGTAGCTCGGTGAGCTGGGTCGCTGCGTTGGTAAAGGTAGCTCGGAGAGCTGGGTCGCTGCGTTGGTAAAGGTAGCTCGGAGAGCTGGGGTCGCTGCGTTGGTAAAGGTAGCTCGGAGAGCTGGGGTCGTTGCATTGGTAAAGGTAGCTCGGTGAGCTGGGTCGCTGCGTTGGTAAAGGTAGCTCGGAGAGCTGGGTCGCTGCGTTGGTAAAGGTAGCTCGGAGAGCTGGGGTTTCATAGTTCTATTCTCCTGGAGTGTGTCCATAGGTGTCTTGCAGTAGGACAGCTGGACTCTCAGCACTTGTGTTTTGTAGTTGCACTGTTCTAGAAAAGGTCTATTTCCAGAATCAGCCTGACTTGCTATTTGCTAATATCTGTCCTTGTGATCTCCCTACTTTCTGAAGCGGCTTATCTGTCTTCTCCTATTTAGCCCCGGGTTTTAAAGGACCCCTTACTAGCTGTTTTTTTTCTTTCTTAGGTGAGGTGATGTCTGTTGGAAGAAACTTTGAGGAAGCCTTTCAGAAGGCCCTCCGTATGGTGGATGAGAACTGCGTCGGGTTTGATCACACTGTGAAGTCTGAATCAGATGAGGTGAGTATGCAGACTTGTTTAGTCAAACGTGTTCAGTAAACTCCCCTGAGGTGTGAAATAACAAGGTGCTCTGTCGTTCAGGAGCTGGAGACTCCCACGGATAAGAGAATCTTCGTGCTGGCCGCTGCCCTACGTGCTAGGTACACCATTGATCGGCTATATGAGCTAACCAAGATTGACCGCTGGTTCCTGCATAAAATGAAGAATATAACAGACCATTTGTCCACCCTGGAGGTTTACCAGGATGACGAGAAGGACATGCCTCGCGATGTGCTTCTTCGAGCGAAGCAGCTGGGGTTCTCTGATAAGCAGATTGCTCAGGCTGTGCAGAGGTGAGCGATCCTTCCTCCCCAGCCGCCTTCTCCTTACTCACTGACGCTCCTTATCAGGGAGTAAATTTTGGCGTTTGTGTAGAGGAAGGTCTGTTATTCCTCCACGGTTCCCACATAAGTTTCATACCTCTCATTGGGTCTGTTGGTGTAGCAGCAGTCAAACATGTCCTGGTTCTCACTTCGTGTCTTGGAAAGGTTTGTTCCAGTAGCCCACTTGTCTTGGATTTCCCTGGTTCTCTAGCCTCCGACGCAGACTCTTAGTCTGGGCGACGTCCGAGCCGGCATGACTTGCTTGGTTTGTGTTACTTTCATTATTGAGGTGGGCGGGTACATATTTTTGGAGGTTTTGCCACTAGAAACTTACTATAAGGTGGTTCTCGTTTCTAAGGCATTGACATTACTGCTGCACTAATCAGTCGAGATAGATCGATATTGAGATATTCTGTAATTTAAGTAACATTTAAGGGCTGCCAAGTAGCATGACACGTATACTTTGAAGGCCTGTGTACATTTGGCAAAGTTAGTCATCCTGTTCAGGTAGGAGGCAGTGTATTATAAACAGAACTCCTGGCACGGGGGAAATCTAAAGGTTAGTCCTAACCTTTTTTTAAAAAAACTTTATTTTAATTTAGAATGGTCTATTGGGCATTAGCACTTAGGTTCCCCTCCCTTATAAACCTGCAAAATAAGCGTTACCTTGCCTACAATCCAATGCCGATAGAAGCTCCCCACAGACTTTCACGCCCCATCCAAAATCTCTGCATCCCTCTCCGTGACCCATAGAGAAACATTTGATTGGATCATTCTCACCGGCTTTGTGCATGTGCACATTTTGAGCTGGGAGGGATAGCGAGAAAGGGAATTATTAAATAAATAACGGTTCATGTAGGGAGGTGGAAAGGAGAGATCTACTTGTAGGCGGTGTCCCATTGCACCCTGCAATCTTTATATATTTACATATATTTAGGCTGACATCTCTGTTACGTGTTATATGCCCATCTATGTAAAAGGCATTTCTCACCAAGTTTATTGATGCTGTCTCTACAAAATAAGAATCCAGCATTGTATTCTACTTTAGTTATGCTTTAGAACTTTGGACTTTATGGACCAGTTGTAAATCAGCAGATTGTTTGTTTTTTTTCCTCGCCTTCACTTTTCATTGTATTTTTTTTTTTTGGCTTAATTTGATCTCATTTAAAGGAGGCATTTAATTTGCTCTTCCTAGATGCATGTAACAATCTCCATGAAATATAATTTTCCAAGCAGTGCTCGGAATTAGAGCGATCCTGTGTCCTTACTTCCTGTTTAGCACAGAGTTAGCTGTCCGCAAGATGCGCAAGGAATGGAATATCCTTCCGGTGGTAAAGCAGATTGATACGGTTGCTGCAGAGTGGCCAGCCCAGACAAACTACTTGTACCTGACGTATAATGGTACCGAGCATGACTTGGATTTCCAGGAGCCACATGTCATGGTGATTGGATCTGGCGTTTACCGCATTGGGAGCAGTGTGGAGTTTGACTGGTGCGCAGTAGGCTGTATCCAGGAATTGCGCAAGGTACGTGGCCACAGATAAGCTGAATCACTGTCGTGATGTCCGCTGTTATCCAGCCTCATGCTCTCCTCTCTTCTTCCTTCTCCTCTGTGCAGATGGGCTTTAAGACAATCATGGTCAATTACAACCCAGAGACAGTGAGCACCGATTACGACATGTGTGACCGTCTGTACTTTGATGAAATGTCCTTTGAGGTGGGTGTGGGATTGTTTTGCAGCATATTTACCTTCCTGCATTATCTAGAGTATCTCTGAACACGGCCCTTTTTTATATATGGACAAATAGAGGCAGTACGATCTTTGTGTTCTGCATTTCCTAATCCAATCAGCATGCGCTTTTAATTTCTGTGTCAGTCTATGGATTGCCTGGGCGTTCTTTGGGCAGGGTAATATGCAGAATAGAATAAACTCACGGTGGCCCTTCATCTGATTTGAAAGGCAGACTTTATGGTGCTCTCCTCATTCTAATCTCCCCTTTAGGTGGTGATGGATATCTATGAACTGGAAAACCCAGAGGGAATCATTCTTTCAATGGGAGGTCAGCTGCCCAATAATATCGCCATGTCACTTCACCGCCAGCAATGCCGCGTGCTGGGAACATCTCCTGAAGCTATTGACTCTGCAGAAAACCGCTTCAAGTTCTCTCGTCTGCTGGACACCATTGGAATAAGCCAACCCCAGTGGAAGGAGCTGTCTGATCTGGAGGTAACCAGGGACCCTATAAGCTGCTGAACTGGTCTAGCACTTATTGGTTTAATAATCTGTTCTTGTCCCCTTTAGTCAGCCTTCCACTTCTGTAGCAGCGTGGGCTACCCATGCGTGGTGCGTCCATCCTACGTCCTCAGTGGGGCCGCTATGAACGTAGCTCATTGCGATGTAGACCTGGAGAAGGTTCTGAGCAATGCTGTGGCTGTTTCCAAGGAGCACCCTGTTGTTATCTCCAAATTCATCCAGGAAGCCAAGGTCTGTAGTAATCCCATAACTGGAAGCAAATTGGCCATTTCATTGTTATTTAATGGTTATTTAATTATTTGTCCCTCACCAGGAGATAGATGTGGATGCTGTGGCTTGTGATGGCGTGGTGGTTGCTATGGCAATATGTGAACATGTAGAAAATGCTGGGGTGCACTCTGGAGATGCTACACTCGTGACCCCACCTCAGGACATCACACCTAAAACTTTGGAGCGGATCAAAGCCATTGTCCATGCGATTGGATTGGAGCTCCAGGTCACCGGTCCCTTTAACCTGCAACTTATAGCGAAGGTACCTGAGCAAGGTGTACTGGGAAAGACAGACCACAGGCGCTAATACAAAATATGTCCCATGAGTTTTAGTGAACACTGTCGGGTATAGCAGTTGTCAGTCCACCAGTGTCCTGGAGGAGTCTCTGAAATGGTCCATATACTGCCATGTCTGCCTTTATTATTCAGACCCTTCTCTCCACAGGATGACCAGCTCAAGGTGATTGAATGCAATGTGAGAGTGTCACGTTCGTTCCCCTTTGTTTCTAAAACCCTGGGGGTGGATATGGTGGCTTTGGCCACGCAGGTCATAATGGGTGAGGAGGTGGAACCAATTGGACTTATGACTGGGACAGGAATAGTAGGAGTCAAGGTAAGGAAGAAATTTGCTGTTTCTTCACTAGTTGGTTCTCCGCTCCCTGTCTATCCCTCTCTTTGCACCATCTAACCCTCTCCTCATCCTGTCAGTTGTTGCCCCCTCCCCCCCCCCACCATTGTATCTTCTTTCACGCATTTCCCCGATGTGTACCGTGTCTTCCACCAATCCTGTATTGTCCCTCACATTTATCTGTTTGGTGCCCCTTGTGTGTAGGTTCCACAGTTCTCCTTCTCTCGCCTGGCTGGAGCAGATGTCGTGCTTGGTGTTGAGATGACCAGTACGGGAGAGGTTGCCTGCTTTGGCGAGAACAGATACGAGGCTTATCTGAAGGCAATGCTGAGCACAGGTTTCAAAATCCCCCAAAAGAATATCCTGCTGACTATTGGGAGTTACAAGGCGAGTCTCTGAGTGTGCTGGGTTCTGGGGAAGTTTATTGCCATTAGCTCATATTTCAGGGTTTTAATATATTTCCATACATTGATATATAAAGAATCACTCCATTAGTTGGTTGTGTTGTGAGTTTCCTTCGGGGCTATATAAAAATGGTTTACAAAACTGCAAATCTGGTTTATGTTGCAAGCCCTCTGCTTTTTCAGTCTGTGCCAGCACACTGACCAGTTATTTAAGAAGTCCTAGCCACTGGCTACATGTTGGAAAGAAATGGCTGTCTTCGCTAAACTGAAATTCATCTTTAAATTCAATATTTGTGGCCCAATTAGTATTGTTTTTCAAGAGATGGTTTCCAATCTTTATATATTTACATAAATTTAGGCTGACACCTCTGTTACATGTGATATGCACATCCATGTAAAAGGCATTTCTCACCCAGTTTATTGATGCTGTCTCTACAGAATAAGAGTGAGCTCCTGCCAACAGTACGTGCCTTGGAAAGCATGGGGTACAGTCTGTGTGCCAGCCTGGGCACCGCAGACTTCTACACGGAGCATGGCATAAAGGTAAGCCAACAGGCCACCTCCATTATTGGCTATAGAGGCCCCAACCCTTATCTTCCTCCTTTGCTAAAGAACTCGGCTATGGAAACATCTCAGCCTCTCCACGGAACAGGTTTCCATGTCTTCTCTTCCTTTGTCTTGCTCTCATTGTAGGTGAAGGCCATGGACTGGCCCTTTGAGGAGACAGAGAGTGATGGTCCTCTGAAGGAGAAGCAGAGGAGTATTATGGATCATCTCTGTGAGAACCACTTTGATTTGGTCATCAATCTGTCCATGCGCAACTCTGGTGGGCGCAGACTGTCTTCTTTTGTTACCCGTGGATACCGTGCCCGGAGGCTGGCTGTGGATTACTCTGTGCCCCTCATCATCGATATCAAGTGCACAAAGCTCTTTGTAGAGGTCAGTGTTAGAGGAAATCGCCTGTAAGAGTGTCTGTTACTGAACTTATAATAACAGGAGTGTTTATATCTCTCCTACTTTACAGAACCACCTGTCACACACACACATGGATGTAGTGTATGATGATGTGTGTTGTGAACAGGTACTGTTGACAATTCCTTTCCTTCTTCTTTTAACAAAACCTATGTTTAATTCTTCCCTTGTGTTAAGTTCTGCTTTTGGGTTATCCTGAGGTGTTTTTTTTTTTCCTTCTTGCTAGGCTCTGCGTCAGATTGGATCTTTTCCTCCTGTGAAGACTCACGTAGACTGCATGACCTCCCAGAAACTAATTCGGCTGCCAGGTGAGTGTGTGAGGTACTTCCTGTTGGACAAGGTGGGTATAACACTAATGTCACCTGGATAAAGCTCCAGGTCGCTGGCTGCATAGAGGGGAAATGTACACAGTTTGGGTAATTTCTAAACCTTTTTTCAAGTATTTTCTGCTCTGTGTGTTTTGTAATCTATGCATGAAACTGACTCTGTGTCAACCTCATTGTCAACCTCTGCTTTATGGCAGCGGTCAATTTTAACTCCTCTCTGGTCAGTTTCTGTGTGATGGTATGACATGGGGTACCTGCTCCTTGTCATCAATTAATTACCTCACTAGCCAGGCCTTAAACCTTACTCTCCACAGCAAGCCCTCCAGGGCCAAACCTTACTCTCCACAGCAAGCCCTCCAGGGCCAAACCTTACTCTCCACAGCAAGCCCTCCAGGGCCAAACCTTACTCTCCACAGCAAGCCCTCCAGGGCCAAACCTTACTCTCCACAGCAAGCCCTCCAGGGCCAAACCTTACTCTCCACAGCAAGCCCTCCAGGGCCAAACATTACCCTCCACAGCAAGCCCTCCAGGGCCAAACCTTACTCTCCACAGCAAGCCCTCCAGGGCCAAACCTTACTCTCCACAGCAAGCCCTCCAGGGCCAAACCTTACTCTCCACAGCAAGCCCTCCAGGGCCAAACCTTACTCTCCACAGCAAGCCCTCCAGGGCCAAACCTTACTCTCCACAGCAAGCCCTCCAGGGCCAAACATACCTAGATTACATCAAGCTGTTTCAATTTTACAGAAATGGCTTTCATCGAAATACTAATATATCTTATATGTTGCCAGAATTCCTGGGGATTCACAGGGGGTAATGACCTTTGGAAGATATTTTAAGGGAGGTAGACTATTCTGGGCTGGGTGGTCGTGAAGCTGCTGCATGGTGTGCACGTGTCCTTATTTAGTAGTCTCCAGACACACCAGCCCTTTGTCAAAGTTAGTGGCTGGTTCTATTGCTAGGGAAGTGCATGTGCTGCAAAGTTCCTACATGCACTTCCAGGTCACCCTGCTTTGTGGAAGAGCATGTGGCCATATTCATCGTTTTTGTGGGGGGTTTAATTACTGTAAAGGAGCTTCTCTTGATCGGTGTGACGAGACCAATCTCGCCACTGTGCATTGGAGGAGCCTGGTTGCCTGCCTGCTGCCTTTTGATTATGGACCGGCATTTAAACACCCTATTTTCCTATGCTGAAAGGTCTATTCGTGTATTTCTGCCCTGGCGTTCGGTAGATTCTCAGATTTACTGAATGAACTAATTTAACGCAGATAGCTATGCCATGGAGCCTATTCGTGTAATAAAAGACTTTGGCTCCATGGCAATTGAACTGTATGTGTGTGTGGTCTGAGCGCCATTCAGTATTAATGTGCCCTCAGACCTAAGCTATCTGGGCATATGTTGCATGTATATGTTTTATGTAGTAATTGTAACATTGTGTATTTTATTGTATTTTACTGTCTTTTTACTGCCATGTGCTTAATGGAGTTTTGCCTCTGTCCTTGGAGATAATTGGATTACTTCCCAATTATCTCCTGGATAGAAGACTCTTTGGAACTGGTTTTGGGCAGAAAAGCCATGCTTCATTTGGTCACAAAGGACTTCGATCTATCTTTTGAACCAATGGACCAATGTGGTTGATTTTGACCTATGTTCGTATTTGGAGTATGCTGTTTCTGAAAATGTATGAAATGTGAATGTGATGCATACTTTTAAAGTTATGAATAATGTGGAAAAACTGTATTTCTCTGCCTGTGATAATTACATTAACCCATTGTGTAAGGTAATTTTATCACAGGCAAAGGGGAGGATTTTGTGTGGGAGTGTCTGAGTGTATTGTACGTGTTTATTGGTTGTTTTCCAAAACCCTGTGGGTGGTACTAATGTGTATATAAGAACAATAAACCCACAGCTCTGTCTGATCATTGCTTTACCCTCAACACGGAGCTTTGTCTTGTTCTTGGGGGGATTTATTGAATGCTGTTCCAGTTCGACTGCTAGGAGTGTAAACCTTTCGTATGGTTTTTCCTATTCGGCTGTTTATAGCATTGTAGCGGAACCCCTTTTTGGCTGTCCTATTCCTTTTATTGATTGTTGGCCCTGTGCCTGGAGTGCACAAAACTCTAAGTGACTAGGTATGGTACTACTTTGTTCGGTATGGGAATAACAGCTGATGTGAACCACTAAAATTCACCATACGAACAAAGTACCGAATGAACCGGACCACCCTGATGTGTATAATGGATCTATTTACCTCCTTGCTTGCATTTCATTCCCTTGTACGCATGAACCCGCCACCATTTTAGCAGCCGAACACGTGGCGGCCGCCATCTTAAATGCGCGAACAGCGGTGTTTGGTCGTCGATTGTCTGGAACTGATCTGGGTGATTTTTGGATATGTTTCTCACCCAGATCAGGGCTACCAGGGGGTACCCTATTTAAGGGCATATTCCACCTATTTGGGGTACATCTGAAAAGTGGGGAAAAATGTGCTGTGTATAATTTTATTAAAGGCTAATCTAAGGGGAGGAGATGTGTGGGAGGTAACGTCGCTGGCATTGGATAATATACTAATAGTTGTGCATCCCTCCCTTGCATGGGAGAATCTCATAGAAGCAGGAATGTTGCCATTAAAAGTTCAGTTCTACTCCTGATACTGTGTGTCGTCCAGTGATTGGGGAAAGTGATGGGATATTATTGGAGTGTAATGCTGATTGTGCTGAATATTCTCTTGGAATTATTACTTGTTCCTGCATCCTCTTAAAGTACTTGGTGGAGTTAAGCTGTGGGAAATCAGCTCTCCGCTACAAGCATTCGTATGTTTGAGAGCATTCATATGCTTCTCCAGTTCGGTGGATTGGTGTCTACAGTAGCTGCCTGTATATCTGGAAGGGAATATCTCTTAAAAGATGTTTAACCCCTTTTATGCCCGGGGTGCTGTTACAATCGGTTTCTGTTGAGATTCTTTTTGTTGATTTGCTATACACATTATTATACAGTGTCATTGTGTCAGAAAAGAATAATCCCCTTTTCTTTTGGTTTCTGTTTAGGTTTGATCGATGTCCATGTGCACCTACGAGAGCCTGGAGCTACTCACAAAGAGGACTTTTCTTCGGGCACCGCTGCAGCCCTGGCTGGGGGCGTAACCATGGTTTGTGCCATGCCCAACACAAACCCTGCCATCACAGACAGCAGCTCCTTCTCTCTGGCACAGAAGGTAAGTAGTCAAAGTATTGCACGTGCAATGTGCCAGGGACTAGTGTTAATTTTGGCGTCAGATTTCAATTTATTTTTAGTCAGTCTTTTGAATAAAAAGCCATTTTAGTTTGTCTTATTTTAGCCATCTGAATTGTTTTAGTTTTAGTCGACAAATTTCAAATGTTAGTTGACAAAAATTTGACTAAAATTTAGTCGGCAAAATTAACACGGCTAAGGACTTGTGTATTTCAATAGCATGTGAACCATCTGGATCATTACAACATTTCTACTTCAATGAAAATCTGTTGTAACTGTAAAAAGGAGCAGAATTTCGGGCCTAAAAGTTTAAAGCCTTGTTGACCCTTGCTTCTTAATTTTGTTTTTTTCCTTTCAGTTGGCTGAAGCCGGTGCTCGCTGTGACTTTGCCATTTTCTTGGGCGCTTCCTCAGAGAATGCTGGGTCCCTCGCTCCTCTCGCTAGTGCAGCTGCGGGCCTCAAGATGTATTTGAACGATACTTACTCACAACTCAAGATGGACAACGTATCTGTTTGGATGGAGGTCAGTGTAATGCTGCGCATAGCAGTCAGCACATCATGCATTTTGGTCAAAATCTCCATTTGTAAATTGTCTTCTGTTGGTAATATCTTCCAGTCTGAGACATTTCCCAAGTGATCGTGTCAATATATGGTCCCTTGCACATAGCATTTTTAAAACATGCTTAACCAACATAATAGCTTCGTATTCAGAAGCAAACCTTTTATAGGTCGGCAGTGACTAAAATGACACAGGACACCAGGGATCTACCTGTGGGTCACACACTCTCTGTTCTTATAGGGACATCATTAAAACCTAATATGGTAACAACGTGGCACAACGACCCCTCTCATTCACATTTGTTAGAGCCACGGTCTGCGTAGGACATTTTTGCCAGACATGGGAGTTGTGGTCTTAGTAGGATTTAGTGGAGTCTTCCAAGGTACCATTAGGGCTAGTTTTTCTAACCCTCAGATTATGCTAGCTTCGCCTCTGGTACTTATCGGTACCCCTATATTTTGGACGAACTTATCCTGGGTTCAAGGGATTCCTCCATTTCTATTGTTAGTGCCACAGTCTGAGTGGGACCACTAGAGGGAATTACTGGAGCTGTGGTCTGAGTGGGACTATTAGCGGGACTAGTTAGAGCCACGGTCTGAGTGGGACGTAGAGGGACTTGTTAAAGCCACGGTCTGAGTGGGACGTAGAGGGACTTGTTAAAGCCACGGTCTGATTGGGATGTAGAGGGGCTAGTTAGAGCCACGGTCTGAGTGGGATGTAGAGGGACTTGTTAAAGCCACGGTCTGAGTGGGACGTAGAGGGACTAGTTAAGAGTCGTGGTCTGAAGAGGGACAAGTTCATTGCTTGACCTGGCTAGTGTTAATTCCAAGACCAGTTTTTCTCTGGCCCTCACTGTTATTGACCATCACTTTTTCCTCTCCCTGCAGCACTTTGAAAAATGGCCGTCACACTTGCCCATTGTGGCCCATGCAGAAGGTCAGACTGTGGCTGCAATTCTGATGGTGGCACAGCTTTACCAGCGATCTGTGCACATATGCCACGTGGCAAAGAAGGAAGAGGTACGTTTAGAGATGCATGTGGTCTGGTGAGTTTATGTGGAAATTAAGTCTTAATTCTGGTGTTTTGAATACGATGACTTTGGAGATATGTTTTAATAAAATGTTTTCTCAAAGGATACTTTGTAGTAAAGCGTCTACTGGGCATCCGCTGTGTACTAAGTGTTTGTTATTCCCGACAGATTCTCATCATTAAGGCTGCCAAGCAGAAGGGCATCCAAGTGACGTGTGAGGTGGCCCCTCACCACCTCTTTCTCTGCCTCGATGACCTGGACCGAATCGGCCAGACACGGGGACAAGTGCGCCCCATGTTGGGGACACGGGAGGATTTAGAAGCATTGTGGGAAAACTTGGATATTATAGACTGCTTTGCTACAGATCACGGTAAGTGCTAGTGCTGTGGAATGGTTGGTAGAGCTGTCCGATTATTCATGTAATTATCTGTGGAGTGGCTCTGTATGAACAGACAGAATCTCAATGCAGCCGGTCTCTGGTAACTTAAAACCACGCATGAAGGAAGCTGTACACGGGATTTATGGTGGCCTGGTGCAGGCAGTGCGAGAGAATGCTGGCTCTTGCATTATTCCGATCGAGGTTTTATTCGTTTCATCCTGAGCCGGAATAGATTGAAGTTTCCCTGTTACCGAACATCAGCCATAACCAGATCATTCTCATTGCACAGAGCAGAATAAACCAAATCTTGCAATAATGCCCAGAGCCGTCTGTATTCTACCATCCACCACCGACACCTTCCCAAAATCCGAGCGGGCGTGGTGTCCTCCAATGCAGTAACATCCCTGCTGCTGATTCTTATTAATCGTGTTATTTACTAAAGTGAGAATTGAAAGTGAAAAGGTTAAAATAACCAAACTGTGAGAATTCTCCAGCTCAGAGTCTTATTTGGACATTATGCCCTATACCCACAATGACGATATGTCTGAGACATCTGCAAGATGCTGCTCGTATAAGAACAGTGATGGATTTTATTGTCTGGATGAGACGATCTATTTAATTCAAAGGATGCATTTCAGATCATTGGAATTGCCATCTTATCTTCCTTAACCAGAGGGGGAGCCGTGTGTGTTAATGAAACTAGGTTTCTAAACTCTTATGTACTAAAATGGATTTTAATATGTTTCTTATGTTCTTTTTCCACAGCTCCTCATTCTGTGGAGGAGAAAGACAGCCCAAATTCTCCCCCTGGATACCCCGGTCTTGAGACCATGCTGCCCCTTCTCCTGACTGCGGTTAGCGATGGGCGTCTTACCATGGATGACCTTATCAAGCGTCTGTATGAGAACCCTCGTAAGATCTTCTCTCTGCCCACTCAAGAGAACACGTACATTGAAGTGAGTCTGAACAATGCTGTTCAAATAGTTGGGTTTTTTTATCGCTTATTTCATTCACTTTCTGTTGCCCCTCCCTCCTCTCTCGCCCCGCCCCGCCCCTCCTCCCTCGCCCTTCCCCCCGCCTCGCCCCTCTTTTTTTTTTTTTTTTAAACACTTTCTGTTGTTATCTCGTTTGACAGGTTGATCTGGAGCATGAGTGGGTTATACCCCCAAGCATGCAGTTCACAAAGTCCCACTGGACCCCATTTTATGGGATGAAGGTGAAAGGTGCAGTGCGCAGAGTGGTGTTGCGTGGAGAAGTGGCGTACATTGATGGCCAGGTACAATTTTTCTTTGATTCTCACTCAGTCCGTTAAAGGTCCACTATAGGCACCCAGACCACTTCATTTTAATGAAGTGGTCTGGGTGCCAGGTCCCCCTAGTTTTATTCCTGCTGTAAATTGAGTAATGCTTTCCTATGGGTGGGTTTGAATGTGCATTCGTGTCCACTCGGGAGCTGACGTAAGCAGGGGAGGAGAGGTCACCAGTGCCGAGGGAGCCTGGCGCTGGATTAAGGGACGTGGCTGAAGGGGTTTTAACTCCTTCAGCCCAGCGGGAGAGGGGGGACCTAATAACCCTATAGTGCAGGAAAACAAGTTTGTTTTCCTGGCACTATGGGATCCCTTTAAGTCTGTATGTTTAGTGGGTGAGACGGTTATTTGCCAGAAGAACTTGAATCCTAATATTGAGGATCCCTGGATTGCCGCTTAACCTCCAGACCAAGAGTTTCTGTACAGGTAAATACAATGTAGAGCTCACATTCCAGGCTGTGTAGATGGTTACCTATCTGAGGATTTTGCATTTGCTTGAAATTCGTAGGATTTGCAGCTTCTGCAATCCTGGTACAATCCTTGGAAACACTGAGCGCATCTCATTATAGTGGTCCATGGATTATTTCTTTATCACAAAACCATCTCTAAACTGTGTGACTTACCTTACCTTGTCTGTGCACCTGCCCTTCTATTAATGCACTCATTTTGCTCATGATTTGACCCCCTCTGGTGCCTGCAGGTTCTCGTTCCCATGGGTTATGGGCAGGATGTGAGGAAATGGTCACCAACCGTTGCTCCCCAGACCCAGCCAGTGCCCAGCAAAGAACTTCTGAAGGTAAATTGCCCTCACTTTGTGCTACCTAGCGGATTAGGAAGCTGAATGGCGGACTAACAAGAGTGGAGAACCGAAAGCATGTGACCGCCTCTTTAACCCTTTAGCTAGATTAATAGAAGGGATGTCCGTAAATGATTATATAAAACTTATTGCTGATAATTATCCTCACATAGTTCAGGTATTAAAGCACTTGATTAATAGCCTCTGGCATCAGGTCCTGTTTAGCATTGACACACATTTCCTGCATGCTATTTTCATTATCAGAGAAACCAAAGTGCTAAATAATCCATATACAAAACATTAATTTCTCTAGACCCCAGTCAAAGCATGTCTTCAGGAAACGCACATTCTACTCCTGCGGTCCCTCTTCCTGGCGCCACCACTATTGTGCTCCATCATTACTGTGGCGTCTAGTGATAAAGTTGGGATTTCCGACCTTAAACCATGAGATTTGAGGCATGTGAATGAATTTCATAGTTTGTAGATGTAAACCGAGATCTAAATTCTCATTATATGAGGAACCAAATGGAATAGCAATCCATAATCTAACAGAGATCTCCACCCTTCCTTGGTCATGGATATACTTGTTCCCTCAGACCCCAGAACATCGTCACGTGACAGTACTAAGTGAGACTGTGCGCAGTCGAGCGCCCAGCCCACGTCGAGCAGGTCCAACCGGTGATGGACGCTTCCACCTGCCACCTAGAATTCACCGTGCTTCTGACCCAGGATTGCCAGGTGAGCGTTTGTTATCACAGTTAGTTGAGATGGAGTGCCCTACTAAACATTCCGATTGTGGGCAGTGCTCAGTATGGAAGAGATGGTGTAAATAGTGCAGGAAATGCAGTAATTATTACAAGTAAATGGCATGTTTGTTTAATTCTGTTTATATTGAAGAGAACTTAGGGTGCTAAAGCCTAATTATGTCCTTAATGAAAAGGCTGGACTCAATTTCTATGTCAAAGTATAAACTTATGGCAAAATTAAAACCTGTAGATTGGTGAACTGATTTGAGTCTCTTAATAATTGAACTCCATAGTTGATGTTAAAGGGCGTCCAAGATTTACTTGAACCTTCCACCTAATGTTGTGTCCTGGTCCACAGCTCCGAGGAAATTGACGGTGTCGCAGTGTCGTGGGACAGCCACAAAGATCGGTAACCTCTATGGGCTGCTCACTAATCAGGGGTGCACGATGTCATGCAATTTGATTTTCCATTGATTTAGTGGTTAAGGAGTTCACCTACCTTATGGTGGTTGGAATTTCTCCCCATTTAATGATCATTCCAATCATGGTTTCCCAAGACATCAGACTTCTGGGAGGGGGTAGCTATTGCAAACAGTAACTGCTAGAGACGAACAGCCTGCTACAAGGATGTTTCTTCAATCTTGTCAAAAACCTGAACTGGTGCTCGGCCTGGAAGTAGCTGAGAAAGTCAACTGTTTGATTGTAACTGTGCCGTCACTGTTTCCTGTTTAGCTTTGATTTCATCCGGATTTTTGACCCTACTCTGATGTTTAATACTCATTACCACACAATTTGAATTAATTTGTAATACTGATCTTCACTCGTGCTTTGTATTGTATTTTATCAAGATCAGTTAATTATTTGATTGGAAAAGTTGTTGGATCAGCGCTTAGTGACCAGTAGGTGATGAGAGAATGTGTGGTAGGAGCGAATAGTCGCCCATTATGGTTCCATCGTTCCTTGGAAGAAAGTCAACCTTAAGCTTTGTATTTTGGGACGTCCATAAAAATCACACACATAAAGAAATTACTTCTTGCAACCTTACACAGAGCATGCTGGAAGTTAGAATTCTAATTTTGCCAGAGCATGGTACATTGTGTAGATGCTGCTTACCAGGTTTGTATTTAGATTGTGTATGGTGGATCTCTTAGGGCTTTGTATTTTGATAGTCTATGTGGACAGGCCATATTACACATTCATTGGTTGCCTTCATCCTAATTATGTCTTTAGACGTGGACCAATCAGTAAATCTGACTTTTGCTGCCTTTTTCTGTTCAGAATCTGCTCTGTTGGAGTGTCCGGAGCTAATCCTGGGCTCAGGTACAGTCCTGTAATAACCATTTCTGGGCGATAATTTGAATCTGGTGCCTTATACCTCCTGTGTGCAGCCTCTGCCTCCTTGTAGTTAATTAAGGAAAACCCTTCAATGAGCAGCCAGGGATGGACATCCATCTCTTGGTTACGCCTTTTCAACATTAACCAGCTGGTTATTTCAAGCATGTGGATCGGTAGCCATACATAATGTGGCGAGGGTAACATCTCACTGCCACCCGCTCGTACTTTCTTCTCTCCTATAGAGTATGTAGGCAAAGCTTGGCTGCTTCTTGTTACGTGGTTATGTGTGAACGAGTCTGGCTGTGAAGCCCAGCTTGCTATGGGTGCCTAGATGTGCTGGTTTGGCAGGGGTGATGTGGTTGTATTTATAAAATTACTGCAAGTCCTGCTGTGCTTATTTCCCTAGTGGTAGCTTCATGACTGGGCTGTTTTCCCTGTGTCGATACCTGCGGTGATATTATCTTAATATTTCTGGGCCATGTCTCCATACATGTGTGGGGTGGATGTACAGGCATGTTGTTTGTATGTATGGACTGAATTGCAGCACATGACCTTTATCTGCATGTGCTTTGTAAGATTTGGTGACGTTTTTGTACAAATTGGGGGCACACAGCTGTTATCAGTGTGTTTATATGGATTGGATCCATGCATGTAAGGCCTGTGTGGCTTTCAGCAGGGTCTGCTTGTGTAATATGAGTGTTTTTATATGAACTGTCTGTGCGCGTTGGCTGTGTGTTTATATGGACTGGGTCTGTGTGCGCCTGGGCTGTGTGTGTTTATATGGACTGGGTTTATGTGCCCCTGGGCTGTGTGTGTTTATATGGACTGGGTCTATGTGCGCCTGGGCTGTGTGTGTTTATATGGACTGGGTCTATGTGCGCCTGGGCTGTGTGTGTTTATATGGACTGGTTCTATGTGCGCCTGGGCTGTGTGTGTTTATACGGACTGAGTCTATGTGCGCCTGGGCTGTGTGTGTGTTTATATGGTCTGTGTGCGCCTGGGCTGTGTGTGTTTATGTGGACTGGGTCTATGAGCACGTGGGCTGTGGGTGTTTGTATGGACTGGGTCTGTATGCGCGTGGGCTGTGTGTGTTTATATAGACTGGGTCTGTGCGCCTGGGCTGTGTGTGTTTTTGGACTGGGTCTGTGTGTGCGTGGGCTGTGTGTGTGTTTATATAGACTGGGTCTATGTGCGCCTGGGCTGTGTGTGTTTATGTGGACTGGGTCTATGAGCACGTGGGCTGTGGGTGTTTGTATGGACTGGGTTTATGAGCGTGTGGGTGCTGTGTGTTTATATGGACTGGTCTATGTGTGTGTGGGCTGTATATGTTTTGAATGGACTTTGTTTATGAGCACGTGGGCTGTGTGTGTTTGTATGGACTAGATCGATGGGTGTGTGGCTGTGTTTTTTTTTTTTTTTATGGACTGGATCTGTGTGTGCGTGGGCTGTGTGTGTTTGTATGGACTTTGTTTATGAGCACGTGGGCTGTGTGTGTTTATATGGACTAGATCGATGGGTATGTGGACTGGGCTATGTGTGTTTCTATGGACTGGGTTTATGAGAGTGTGGGTGCTGTGTGTTTATATGGACTGGTCTATGTGTGTGTGGGCTGTATATGTTTTGTATGGACTTTGTTTATGAGCACGTAGGCTGTGTGTGTTTGTATGGACTAGATCGATGGGTGTGTGGCTGTGTTTTTTTTTTGTTTTTTTTTTATGGACTGGGTCTGTGTGTGCATGGGCTGAGTTTCTATGGACTGGGTTTGTTTATGTGGGCTGTCTGTGTTTTATATGGACTGAAACGATGTGTGCATGGGCTGGGTCCACGCATGTCCACTGACCGGTCTGCATGCTTTGTCTCTGTGGCAGCAGCTGAGGACCAGAAAGAGAAGCTTCCCAAGAAACCCTCGGAATCAGGTTATTATAAACTCCTCATTTTCGCAGCCTGAGTGGGCACTCAGTATTTGAGTGACCTGACTATGTCCTTCAGCTCCTTCACCTTTCCACAACTGTGTGCTTGCTTGGAAGCCAAATTCTCTGCACGCCTCTCAGCCTCTCCATCCTTCCCATGTGCTACTTACCGGCTGAGCTGCTGCAGGTGCTTGTGGACCCCGTTATATTGGTCCTTAATAGTTTGCGGTCACTGAATGTCTGCATGAAAAATCTGACTTGGTAGCTTGAGTTCACAATCGTTTAGCGATGATCTGATGGCCCTAGAGATTTAACTTTAATGGCACAGGCTGTGGTTTGGCAAGGGCTGTCAATTGCTTTGAGGTTACCACGAAGAGTAAAGTATTGAGAAAGCCTGCAGTGGTGCCATGGTTACTCGTGGATGAGGGGTTTAATTTTGGTGAGGTTTGGCACACAGTGCATTGTTTGGTGGAGGGGCGAGGGTTGATATCCATGTTGCTTTTTCACATGATGCTTGGTTTGGAGGGTTGAGGGCTTGTGTGTAGGTTGCGGTTTGGTGCAGGGCTGAGGGTTAGTGTATGAGGTTGAGATCTGGCACACCGTGCCAGGTTTGGTGCAGGGGTGAGGGTTAATGTGTATGTTGAGGTTTGCTGGAGGGGTAAGGGTTAGTGTGTATGGCTTGGTTTGGTGCAGGGATAAGGGTTAGTGTGTATGGCTTGGTTTGGTGCAGGGATAAGGGTTATGTGTATGGCTTGGTGCAGGGGTGAGGGTTAGTGTGTATGGTTTGGGGCAGGGGTGAGGGTTAGTGTGTATGTTGATGTTTAGTGGAGGGGTGAGGGTTGGTGTGTGTATGAGGGTTGTATGTTAAGGTTTAGTGGAGCGGTGAAGGTTAGTGTGTATGACGAGGTCTTGCACACTGTGCTTGGTTTGCAGGGGTGAGGGTTAGTGTGTATGTTGAGGTTTGATGGAGGGGTGAGGGTTAGTGTGTATGGGGTTGAGATCTGACACACTGTGCTTGGTTTGGAGGGGTGAGGGTTTGTGTGCATGTTGAGGTTTGGTGGAAGAATTAGGGTTAGTGTGTATGTTGAGGTTTGGTGGAGGGGTGAGGGTTAGTGTGTATGATGAGGTCTTGCACATATTGCTTGGTTTGGTGGAGGGATTAGGGTTAGTGTGTATGGGGTTGAGATCTGGCACACAGTGCTTGGTTTGGTGCAGAGGTGAGTGTGTGCATGTTGAGGTTTGGTGGAGGGATTAGGGTTAGTGTGTATGGGGTTTAGATCTGGCACACGGTGCTTGGTTTGGTGCAGGGGTGAGGGTTAGTGTGTGTGTTGAGGTTTGATGGAGGGGTGAGGGTTTGTGATTTTGGTTTGGCACACAATGCTTGGTTAGATGCATGGATGAGGGCTATTGTGCATGTCTGGCACACTGTTTGGTTTGTTTGAGCGGTGAGGGTTAGTGTGTGTGTTGAGGTTTGATGGAGGGGTGAGGGTTAGTGTATATGTTGAGGTTTAGTGCAGGTGTGAGGTATGTCATATGGTAAAGGGTTTCCTGGAATAATGAGGTATCGTAGATGTATTGGTCACATGGTGCCATTTGGCATTGAGTTTTGTTTGGAGACTTTACGGTGGCGATTATTACATGGGATGTGTGGTGAATATTGATATTTATCTGGTGGGATGTCCATCACATTGTTTCTTGTAGTCTCTGGGTTATTAGCTGTTGAGTTCTCTCATTGGTCTATTAAACGGCTGTTTTGTTTCAGAAACTGTAATAAACCAGGATGGATTCCCTTACCCTCCCCCCATTCCGAGGTTGTCCCCACAGAACATGTCCATGCAAAGTGTTCCGCATGTGCAGACATCACCTCTCCTGCACCCGCTAATTGGGCAACATATTTTAAGTGTAAAACAGTTCAGCAAAGATCAGGTGAGTCTCCTGACCGGGGGTGCAGATTGGCATGGTGGGCAAGTCCCTGGGGCGGATTGAACTCGGCTCAGTAATTGGATAATTCATTCTTATTCTGTTCCAGATGTCTCACCTGTTTAACGTGGCTCACACACTCCGTATGTTGGTGCAGAAGGAGAGGAGTCTGGAGATCTTAAAGGTGAGTGAGTGGCGGAAACAGGTGTGTAGTACTAACCTTGCACTCACAATGTACCTGCTATGTTTTGATTTACCCATAATGCCCCTTGTGAAGAAATTCCCCTATTTTGCTTTAAAATGACAATTTGTATTCCCTTCTTTCATGTTAGCTTTCCCTATGGCATTCGGTAGGTAAAACTACCGAATCGAGACCACCCCGTTGTCCATTATGAATACTTTACCTCCCTGCTTGCTGGGCATGTTCGACAAAAGTTCTGCACGAATGGTATGCACCGCCGCCATTTCGGGACTTCCACATGTTCGCGGCCATTTTAGCTCCCGAACAGCGGTGTTTGCCGTCGAGTGTCTGGAACTGAAAACGGACACTCAAATAGGCGAACACCGCTGAATCCTCCATACCTTCGGTAAAACCCCATTAAAACTACCGAACGACCGGGTGTTCGGTAGAAAGACTCACTGACAGATGGGGAGTCAAGCGAACCAGGGATGGTAGCTGGATGGCCGTTCGGGAGGTTTTTCATGCGACCTAAGACCGACTGCAGGGCCAGAATTCGTGGAACTGTTTTCGGCTACTTTGCCCGAAACTTCTAAGTCCCATATCTCCCGAACGGCTGAACCGAATGGACTGATTTTTTTTTCATATGTTGGTCCCCCAGAGTACAGCTATCTGGGGTACCTCCAGACTTTGGGGAAATTCTGTTATGTTTTAATTGTTAAATGGTTATCTGAGGGGAGGAGATGTACAGTATGTATATTGTTAGGATTGGTTGTACAGTTAATTATATGGGAGGCTCCCTTGCATGGGAAGAATCCCATAAAAAGAGAATGCCTGTCAATAAACCTTTAGTTCATCTTTGTACCCTTCTTCTGACTACGTATGCTGTTTGGGAGTTCGTGTGTTTTACTGTGGGAATTATCCAGGGACGCTATTGGAATTACACTGGGATTCGTCTACCATAACTACCGAACGGAGGGCTATGTTCACTAGGCTCTGGCGGTTCGGGAGGAAACTACCGATTGAGATTTAAATGCACTTGGTTTCCTTACAACTGGTGGCAAGCGGCGGGATTCGAATCCCGAACGGACGTTTTAAACAAGCAAAGGAATGAATGGCTCAGCAGTACCGACAGCTTAAGAGAAACACGCTAAAGGATTTACTGGAAGCTCGAGGCGTAATAGCAAGCAACAAAACAAAAGCCACGTTAATTGCGGAGCTGTTACAGGGCGACAGAACCAGCACTACAGAAATGGAGCGTGAGGAAGAAACTGAAATGCAGAAAGACATCAGATGGATGCTCAGTTTATTGGGACCTAACCCAGCAACAGAGGCGGTTCTGCAGGTCATGGCACAAGCCAGGCAATCGCAGAAGGAGCGAGATGACCGTGACAGACCGCTACAGGGGGGTTTGCTGCACTCCCATTTTGTTGGCTAGATATGCAGTTACCCCTGAGGCATACAGGAAGAAATTCAGGGAACTGAGGAAAACCGGGAGGGATACCCATACTGAATGGGCATTCCGGCTACACAGGGCAGCCCGAAATTGGATGAAGGGCTGCCAAGCAACCACTCTGGAGGATGCCTTACAACTCCTCCTATTAGAACAATTTTTTTTAACCATACAGCAGATGACATCAAGGACTAGGTGAAAGACAGGAAGCCTAAATCTGTGGAGGAGGCAGCAAGACTGGCAGATGAATACCAGGATAACCGGAGGCGAGAACAAGGGGTGAGCCGACCTGTGTTTAAACAGTCTTTTTCAGCCCCAACAACGGCTGCACCACCCAGAGCCCCCCTGAGTAATCCGCCACACAACCCAGCAGCAGCACCCCGACAAGCTGCAGTGTGTCACTACTGCAAACAGCCGGGACACTATAAAAACCAGTGCCCACGTTTAAACCGGGGAAGCTGGGAAAGGCCGCCACCACAGTCACAACCCAGGGCCGCTGCTCATTGTGTACAGCAGGAGAGCTACCAGCCGAAGTACTGTTGGGGAATGATGTGGGCTGTTTAACTTCCCAACTAGCCCGAGACACAGCGTCCGAAGCCTACCCGGTTACCACCCGAGCTCAAGCCAGACTGGAAGCACCGCCGCACTCGGAGGAAACTCAGGTAGGAGTTGAAATACCCCCTTTACCCGACCCCCCTTCCCCGTTCTGGGATACTCCCCAGGGGTTCGAGCAGATAGCGAGGGGCTCCCTCTCCCCGATCTGTTAGACCCCTCGCCCTGCAGTATTGACCAGGTCAGCCTTGGTCAGAACCTACAACCTCTAGAGCGAGGGGAAGCGTCCGGCCTGCTCCGGGAATACCAGGTCATGTTTTCTGCCATCCCAGGCTATACCTCCGCTGCGGTACACCGGGTAGAAACCCAGGGAGAGACGCCACTGCGGCAGCAACCATACCGTATTCCCGAGGCAGTGCGTGAGAGCATGCTGGCAGAAATTACCGACATGCTCAAGTAAGGGGTAATAGAACCCTCTCAAAGCCCTTGGGCATCTGCGGTAGTACTAGTACCGAAGCGTGACGGCACCACACGCTTCTGTGTAGACAACCGGAGACTCAACGACCGCACCATAACGGATGCATACCCCATGCCCAGAATAGATGAGTTGCTGGACCGTATGGCTGGGGGTAATTACTTGACCACTCTGGATTTGTGCAAAGGATACTGGCAGATCCCCTTGGAGGCTACAGCCATCCCCAAGTCGGCATTCGTCACTCCTTTCGGGCTTTACCAGTTCAAGGTTATGCCCTTTGGAATGAAGAATGCCCCGGCTACCTTTCAGCGGATGGCTGACAGACTCCTGGAGTCTGCATGTGCGTATTTAGACGATATTGCTGTCTACAGCCGCACATGGGGAGACCACCTAGGACACGTGTCCAGGGTGCTCGAGAGAATTCACCAAGCAGGGCTTACGTTAAAACCGGACATGTGTCACGTTGGTATGGCTGAGGTACAGTACCTCGGCCACAGGGTATGGTTAGGTAAACAGCGGCCTGAGCCTGCTAAAATAGAAGCCATAGCTAATTGGCCCCAACCCCGGACTTAGGAACGGCCGGCTATTACCGGAAATTTGTCCCCGACTATAGCGCCCTGGCCAAACCCCTCACTGACCTCACCAAAAAGGCCCTTTCCAAACAGGTTACCTGGACCCCAGAGTGCGCGGCAGCCTTCCAGAAACTGAAAGCAGCATTGAGTGAGGCTCCTGTGTTGGCAGCACCCGACTACTCTAAACAATTTCTTGTCCACACAGGTGCCTCCATGTTTGGTCTGGGAGCCGTGTTAAGCCAGTGTCAGGATTACTGTTTGATCCAGCACGTAGAACTGTACAGCACGGATGACAAATAAGTAACGTATTACCGGTCCTTAGAATGGCCGGATTTAACGTACAAAGAATAGTCAAAAATACTAGCCGAGGTCAGGAAACAGAAAGGGACACAGCGATGAGGAAAGCCAGGAGTCAGGATACCAGAATATAGAGAAGTCAATAAACAAAGCCAAAGTCAAAACCAGGTAGAAAACTATAAACAGGAACGCGCTCTCAGACAACCACAAGGGAAACCACGACAGGGCACTGAGCAGGCTGAGAACTGGGCCTAAATACCCCTCCTTTAGTTCTGATAGGCTGTAACCGGCCTTTGACCCCAAAGTCAGTTACCAGGTTTCATTTGCATAATTGCTGCTCAGCATTAACCCTTCTGTGGATTAGGTTGCTGCTTGGCACAACTTTTCCTGTGTGGACAGTAAATGTCATTAACCACACTTCTATAAGCGGATGAATACGTGACATTACCCCCCCACCTGAAGAACGCCCACCGGGCGGACAGGACCAGACTTGAGAGGAAATTTAGCATGAAAAGCGCGGATCTTACGGCCCGCATGCAGGTCAGGAGCCGAAACCCAAGAACGATCAGCAGGACCGTAACCTTTCCAAACAACCAAGTACTGTAAAGTGCCCCGAGAAAACCTAGAATCCACTATAGAAGATACCTCATACTCTTCCTGACCACCCACCACCACCGGAGGGGGAGGAACACAAGGAACAGTATATCTATTGCAGACAAGAGGTTTGAGTAAGGACACATGAAAAGTGTTGGGAATCCCTAAAGATGCAGGAAGAGCCGGAGAGTAAGACACTGGATTGATCCTACGAAGCACTCTATAGGGACCAAGGAATCTGGGGGCAAACTTCATGCTAGGGACCTTAAGCTTGATGTTGCGAGATGACAACCAAACCCTGTCCCCCACTTGGTACACCGGGTTGGCACTCCTACGCTTATCAGCAAAATGTTTGAAGCGCTCAGCAGCAGCCCCTAGAGCAGTTTGAACCTTAACCCAGGTATCCCGAATGGAGGCCAGACGCTCATCCAGAGCAGGAATGGCAGTATCAGAAAATACCGCAGGGAGAACCGTAGGATGCCTACCATTATTGACAAAAAATGGACTGTGCCCAGAGGAGTCATGAACAGCATTGTTTCTAGCGAACTCTGCCCACGGGAGTAGTTCGGAGCAATTGTCTTGTGTGCTATTAATAAAACACAAATAAACTTCTAATGACTGGTTAGCCCTCTCAGCTGTACCATTGGTCTGTGGATGGTAGGAGGAGGAGGAGAAGGAGAGATCAATCCCCAATTGTTTACTGAACGCCCTCCAGAACCTGGACACAAACTGAGAGCCCATATCAGACACAATATTGTGGGGGATGCCATGCAAACGGACAATTTCACGTATGAAAATTAGGACCAAATCTTGCGAAGATGGCAACTTCTTGAGAGGAATGAAGTGAGCCATCTTAGAAAATCGGTCTACAACCATGAGAATAGTAGTGAACCCAGCAGAGCTAGGAAGCTCAAAAATAAAGTCTATGGATAAGTGGGACCATGGAATCTCAGGAACAGGAAGAGGCTGCAACAGGCCACAAGGAAGTGCATGAGTCACCTTAGAAACTGCACACACAGAACATGCCTGCACATACTCCTTTACATCTTTCCTGAGTGAATCCCACCAAAATGATCTAGTGATCGCGGCAGTGGACTTATTGATGCCCGGGTGTCCAGCAGTTATATTGTAATGGAACACTTTCATGATATTAACACTTTCACATAGGGGAACGAACAGTTTATCGCACGGTTTACCACTGGGCGTCTGAGACTGGACCTCCAGTATGGTGCCAAGCAGTGGAGAAGACAGTGAGAGGACAGTAGTGGCAATAATACACTCTGGTGGAATAATAGGAGATGTCACCTGTTCCGGAGCTGACTCATTATCAAATTGCCTGGACAAGGCATCAGCCTTGGTATTTTTAGAACCAGGTCTATAAGTAATGAGAAAGTTAAAACGTGAAAGGAACAGTGACCATCTAGCCTGTCTGGAAGACAAACGTTTGGCATCCCCTATATATATGCCAGATTTTTGTGGTCGGTTATGATCAACAGGGGGTCCTTGGAACCCTCCAAAAGATGTCGCCACTCCTTGAGGGCAAGAATAATGGCCAACAGTTCCCTATTGCCAATATCATAGTTGCGCTCAGCAGGAGACATCTTTCTGGAGAAGTAGCCACAAGGATGCAATGGTGTTCCCTGGCTTTCTCTCTGAGAGAGAACAGCCCCTACCCCTGTCTCGGATGCATCAACCTCCAATATAAAAGGTTTACTGGTGTCAGGATGTTTTAGTATGTCCGCAGAGGCAAATCTTTGTTTAAGAGTCTCAAAAGCATTCACAGCCTCTTTGGACCATACCGTGCTACTAACCCCTTTGCGAGTCATATTTGTGATTGGGGCTATTACAGAAGAAAATCCCTTGATGAATCTTCTGTAATAGTTGGCAAAACCAATAAACCTTTGAATGGCTTTTAAACCAGAGGGTAATGGCCAGTGTAGTACAGCCTCTAGTTTTTTAGGATCCATTTGAAATCCCGATGCAGAGATGTTGTAACCCAAAAAGTGGACTTAAAGGACCACTCTAGGCACCCAGACCACTTCAGCTTAATGAAGTGGTCTGGGTGCCAGGTCCTTCTAGGGTTAACACATTTTTTCATAATTATAGCAGTTTCAGTAATCTTTTTACTTGGAATGTTTATGTAGTATGGCACATTGTGTCTTTTTGGTTAAGCCTTCCCCCTAATCCTCTAGTGGCTGTCTCACTGACAGCCACTAGAGGCGCTTGCGTGCTTCTCACTGTGAAAATCACAGTGAGAGCACGCCAGCGTCCATAGGAAAGCATTGTAAATGCTTTCCTATGAGACCGGCTGAATGCGCGCGCAGCTCTTGTCGCGCGTGCGCATTCAGCCGGCGGGGCAGATCGGAGGCAGAGAGCTCTCCGCCCAGCGCTGGAAAAAGGTAAGTTTTTACCCCTTTCCCCCTTCCAGAGCTGGGCGGGAGGGGGTCCCTGAGGGTGGGGGCGCCCTCAGGGAACTATAGTGCCAGGAAAACGAGTATGTTTTCCTGGCACTATAGTGGTCCTTTCAGGCTGGTCAAATATGCACTTTTCTAATTTACAATAAAGTTTATTTTTCAACAACGTCTGCAGAACCTGTTTCACATGGGAGTGGTGAGTTTGAAGATTAGGGGAATACACCAAAATATCGTCCAAATAAACCAAGACAAATGAGTAAATGAATTCCCTGAGTACATCATTTATAAAGTCTTGGAATACGGCCGGGGCGTTGCATAACCCAAATGGCATTACCAGATATTCATAGTGTCCACTACGGGTATTAAATGCCGTCTTCCACTCATGATTCTCTTTAATTCTAACCAAATTGTAAGCGCTCCTAAGGTCAAGCTTAGTAAATACTTTAGCTCCCTGAAGTCTATCGAACAATTTGGAAATGAGTGGAATAGGGTATGCATTTTTTACAGTGATTTTATTAAGTGCCCTGTAGTCTATGCAAGGGCGTAACTCTCCACCCTTTTTCTCAACAAAAAAGAATCCTGCACCAGCTGGTGAGGATGACTTTCTTATGTGCCCTTTGCTCAAGGGTTCTTTGATGTATTCCTCCATTATTTTACTCTCCTGGGGAGATAAGGCATAAACTGCCCCCTTAGGTGGCATAGCGCCTGGGAACAGGTTAATGGCACAGTCATATGCTCTGTGGGGAGGCAATACATCGGATTGAGCCTTGTTAAACACCTCCTGAAGTTCTCGGTATTGTATGGGAACTCCAGGAGTTTGGGGAGTGGTAGTGGGAAGGTCAATAGTATCCAATCTCTTTAGTACTGGTTTTATACATCTCCCCATACACTCTTTACCCCATTCTAATATCTCCCCATTAGCCCAGTCAATATAGGGATTGTGCTTACTCAGCCACGGAAACCCTAATATGATAGGACATGATGGAGAAGTAATAACCTGAAACGTCATCTCCTCCCTATGGGAGGCCCCAATGGAGATCGTAATAGGGACAGTTTCGTGGGTTATAAGCGGTTGTGTGAGTGGTCTACCATCAATAGCCTCTACAGCTAGCGGCGTAGGTCTCTCCCTGACCGGTATCTCATTACCCCTAATAAACTGGACATCAATAAAATTTCCAGCAGCACCTGAGTCCATTAGGGCACTGCAAGAAAACTTCTTGTTATCAAGGGAAATAGATACCTCAAGGAGGAATCTACTTTTGTTTTTGTTAGAGGACAACTCCATCACACCTAAGATCTGTCCCCTTAAGGTTCTTAGGTGCGGAAGTTTTCCGGACGCACTGGACAATTAGTTATCATATGTCCCTTTCTACCGCAATATAGGCATAACCCCTCCCTTCTCCTATACTGTTTTTCGGCCTCTGACAGTCTAGTGACCCCCAACTGCATAGGTTCGGGTTCGGACTGTACAGGGAGGTTAGACAAAACAGGTTTAGAGAATTGAGGTGCTAGGGACATAGCCGTACGTCTGGTCTTGCTTCTGGTGACTTCTCTGAGTCTTAACCTATTATCAATATGCATGACAAACGTAATAAATTCGTTAAGACTCTTAGGTAATTCTTTAGCGGCTATCTCATCTAGTATAGTCTCTGAGAGACCCTTTTTGAATGCTGAGATTAACCCATTGTTAGTCCAGTCTACCTCGGAAGCTAAGGTACGGAATTCAATAGCATAATCCGAGATAGACCGGTTACCTTGTCTGATGTGCATTAGGGCAGTGGAGGCGTCATCCTCTCTACCCAATGGCTCAAACGTGAGCTTGAATTCGGCAAGGAATTCCTGGTAATTATGAGCTATGCTCCGATTACTCTCCCACAACGGATTAGCCCAGGCAAGGGCCTTGCCCTTTAATTGATTCATTAGATAACCAATTCTTGCTCTGTCCGTGGGGAATGACCCTGGTGAGGCCTCAAAATGGTACTCCACCTGATTAAGAAAACCCCTGCATTCCTGGATATTGCCATCAAACTGTAGGGATGGTGATAAGGAGATGCTAGGAGTCCTATTAACAGTGGGTGGAGGTACACAGGGTAGAGGTGCTATAGGAGGAGACGCTGCAGGCTGCAGATGCTCCGTTCTAGCGAGAAGCGTACTTAAAGCCTGAGTGAATTGATCCATGCGGTGATCATTCTCCTCTTATTTCCTCTCGCAAGCACCTATGTGCTGACACAGTTCTACAGGATCTATGGCCCTGTCGTAATGTCAAGATTACTGTTTGATCCAGCACGTAGAACTGTACAGCACGGATGACAAATAAGTAACGTATTACCGGTCATTAGAATGGCTGGATTTAACGTACAAAGAATAGTCAAAAATACTAGCCGAGGTCAGGGAACACAGAAAGGGACACAGCGATGAGGAAAGCCAGGAGTCAGGATACCAGAATATAGAGAAGTCAATAAACAAAGCCAAAGTCAAAAACCAGGTAGAAAACTATAAACAGGAACGCGCTCTCGGACAACCACAAGGGAAACCACGACAGGGCACTGAGCAGGCTGAGAACTGGGCCTAAATACCCCTCCTTTAGTTCTGATAGGCTGTAACCGGCCTTTGACCCCAAAGTCAGTTACCAGGTTTCATTTGCATAATTGCTGCTCAGCATTAACCCTTCTGTGGATTAGGTTGCTGCTCGGCACAACTTTTCCTGTGTGGACAGTAAATGTCATTAACCACATTTCTATAAGCGGATGAATACGTGACAGCCAGGTGGGAGACGACGGCATGGAACACCCGGTGGCCTATCTCAGCCGTAACCTTTTGCCCCGGGAGGTCAGCTATGCCACCGTGGAGAAGGAGTGCCTAGCCCTGGTGTGGGCGCTTAAGAAACTCCAACCTTATTTGTACGGCCGGCCATTTACTCTGATGACCGACCACAACCTGTTGGTGTGGTTAAACCGGGTGGCTGGCGACAACCCCAGACTCTTACGGTGGAGCCTAGCTCTTCAACCGTACAACTTCATCATGCAGTACCGTCCGGGCAAACAAAATGGTAATGCAGATGGTTTGTCCCGTCAAACAGAACTGGATGTTTAACTGAGACCTTTCTTTTTTTCCCTCGGACATCCCCAAGCCAACCCATCAGGGTCTTGGCGGGTATGCCGACCTATGGACTTATAGGGGAGCAGTGTGAAGAAATTCCCCTATTTTGCTTTAAAATGACAATTTGTATTCCCTTCTTTCATGTTAGCTTTCCCTATGGCATTCGGTAGGTAAAACTACCGAATCAAGACCACCCCGTTGTCCATTATGAATACTTTACCTCCCTGCTTGCTGGGCATGTTCGACAAAAGTTCTGCACGAACGGTATGCACCGCCACCATTTCGGGACTTCCACGTGTTCGCGGCCATTTTAGCTCCCGAACAGCGGTGTTTGCCGTCGAGTGTCTGGAACTGAAAACGGACACTCAAATAGGCGAACACCGCTGAATCCTCCATACCTTTGGTAAAACCCCATTAAAACTACCGAACGACCGGGTGTTCGGTAGAAAGACTCTCACTGACAGATGCGAACCAGGGATGGTAGCTGGATGGCCGTTCGGGAGGTTTTTCATGCGACCTAAGACCGACTGCAGGGCCAGAATTCGTGGAACTGTTTTTGGCTACTTTGCCCGAAACTTCTAAGTCCCATATCTCCCGAACGGCTGAACCGAATGGACTGATTTTTTTTTCATATGTTGGTCCCCCAGAGTACAGCTATCTGGGGTACCTCCAGACTTTGGGGAAATTCTGTTATGTTTTAATTGTTAAATGGTTATCTGAGGGGAGGAGATGTACAGTATGTATATTGTTAGGATTGGTTGTACAGTTAATTATATGGGAGGCTCCCTTGCATGGGCAGAATCCCATAAAAAGAGAATGCCTGTCAATAAATCCTTAGTTCATCTTTGTACCCTTCTTCTGACTACGTATGCTGTTTGGGAGTTCGTGTGTTTTACTGAGGGAATTATCCAGGGACACTATTGGAACTACACTGGGATTCGTCTACCATAACTACCGAACGGAGGGCTATGTTCACTGGGCCCTGGCGGTTCGGGAGGAAGCTACCGATTGAGGTTTAAATGTACTTGGTTTCCTTACACCCCTGCATTGTTAGCCAGTGTTATGCCAACTTCCCATAATAAAAACTGTTCTATTAACCTACCTTCCCATAGTAGGTAGGTGTTCTATTAACCCTGACCCCCATTTCTCTCTCTCTGTAATACGCTGGTTCTGATCCTGTTTTCTGCCCTTAGGGGAAGGTAATGGCCTCTATGTTCTTTGAGGCCAGCACACGGACCAGCAGTTCCTTTGCAGCGGCCATGCAACGCCTTGGGGGTTCGGTCATCTCCTTTTCCGAGTCCACGTCGTCTTCTCAGAAAGGAGAATCACTGACAGACTCGGTGCAGACCATGAGCTGCTACGCCGATGTGCTGGTACTGAGGCACCCACAACCTGGTGCTGTGGAGGTATGACTGTTATTGGCCTGACTCGTTCTACGCTCTTGTGTAGTAAAATGTTTGACAGAAAGTGCTGTCACTCTCTCCACCCACGTTCCCTCGGGTATGGAGTTTGTGTAATCCAGGACGGATGTACCAGGCCTTTCTAACTCTGTGACGGTATAAATCCACTTGTCCTTTGTCTAGTCTCCTTAGTAAATCGTGCCTATCGTCATTAAACTGTAACTTGTTGTGTTTCACTTATCAGCTGGCAGCCAAACATTGCCGGAAACCAGTGATTAATGCTGGGGATGGTGTTGGTGAGCACCCCACACAGGCTTTGCTTGATATCTTCACCATCAGAGAAGAGTTGGGAACAGTCAATGGAATGACGGTAAGTGAACTTGTTAAGTAGAAGGTAGTTTCTGCTGACAGCAGCCTGGAGGTCTCTCTAATTTCTCCCAACATTAGTTCCACGGCTGGTGGTCTCTGGGATAGACTGGGAAGCAATGTTATGGGGAGTGAGTGGGGCAATAAATTCCACAGGGGAGATTGACTTTAATATTCTTTATCCAGATAACGATGGTTGGGGATTTAAAACACGGCCGCACTGTTCACTCCCTTGCCTGCCTTTTGACTCAGTACCGTGTCAACCTGCGATATGTTACCCCGCGCAGCCTGCGGATGCCCTCAAAGATCATACACTTTGTGGCTTCTAAAGGAATTAAACAGGTAAGAAACCCCTTCCACTGCCACGTCGTGTAACGTGCGCGTTGTCTCCCCGGCTGCTGGGGCTCTAACGTGTCTTTCTCACTCATACAGGAAGAGTTTGACAGCATTGAGGAGGCCCTGCCCGATACTGATGTGGTGTATATGACTCGGATACAGAAGGAGCGCTTCGAGTCCCAGGAGGAGTATGAAAATGTAAATATCAAATAACCAATGCCTCCACAGGGGGCCTGTATTAGGATGGATCCGCATCTTGACAGTCGCATTATCTGTTTAGTTGTGTTTTAATATGTATTTAGTGGATTTTTTTTTTGATTTTTTTTTATATTTATTTAATAGCATATTTTAGAGGTTTTATTGGTCTCACAATCTCTGGGGTAACATAAGGAAGTACTGTTTATTCACAGGAGGAATATATTGAGATCCCCTGTGGGAGTGTGCTGCTCAGATAGTGAGGGTTATAGGAGGTGTGAGGAGCTGCAGTGAGCGTGCTGCTCAGGTAGTGTGTGTTATAGGAGGTGTGAGGAGTTGCAGTGAGCGTGCTGCTCAGGTAGTGTGTGTTATAGGAGGTGTGAGTGTGTTGCTCAGGTAGTGTGAGTTATAGGAGGTGTGGGGAGCTGCAGTGAGCATGCTGCTCAGGTAGTGTGGGTTATAGGAGGTGTGGGGAGCTGCAGTGAGTGTGCTGCTCAGGTAGTGTGCGTTATAGGAGGTGTGGGGAGCTGCAGTGAATGTGCTGCTCCGGTAGTGTGGGTTATAGGAGGTGTGGGGAGCTGCAGTGAGCGTGCTGCTCAGGTAGTGTGTGTTATAGGAGGTTTGGGGAGCTGGAGTAGTCACATTGCAGGCTGCAAAGTGAGCTTAAAGGGGCGCTATAGTCATCAGAACAACTGCAGCTTATTGTGTTTGTTCTGAGTATAATCATTCCTTTCAGGCTTTTTGCAGATAAAATGCTGTGTTTACATTACAGTCTAGGGATACTTCCCCTGGCCACCACTCAGATGGCTGCTAGAGGTGCTTCCTGGGGCAGTGCTGCACAGTGTGACTGCCATTGAGTCAATGTATCTCTGAGGAGATGCTGATTGGCCAGGACTGTGTTTGGTTTGTGCTGGCTCTGCTCCTGATCTGCCTCCTTGACAGTCTTGGCCAATCCAATGTTTTCCTATGTGAAAACATTGTAAATGGCTCAGAACACGTCTGATGATGTCAGCCAAGCAGACAGATTAGGGGCAGAACCAGCAACTGCAGACTGGAATAAAGGTAAGATTTTACTAAATTTAGAGTGTTCCTTTAAGTAGTTTGTCGTTTTGTTAGGAGTTGTGTATAGCACATGTTGTTGAAATACTAATTTAGAAAGTTTCCTTGATAAAATAGAAGTTGTTTTGCAGTTCGTCGATCTTCCCATCTGTAATTATCCTATGTTCCCTTCTCAGTGTTTTGGGCAGTTTATCCTCACACCACATATTATGACCAGGGCTAAGAAGAAGATGGTGGTCATGCATCCAATGCCACGTGTCAATGAGATCAGGTAAGGAGACAAAAAGGGAGAACATTGAATGGGATGAATGATATAGCTTGGAGGAAAGACGAGACAGGGGGGATAGGATAGAAACATTTAAATATATAAAGGGAATCAACACAGTAAAGGAGGAGACTATATTTAAAAGAAGAAAAACTACCACAACAAGAGGACATAGTCTTAAATTAGAGGGACAAAGGTTTAAAAATAATATCAGGAAGTATTACTTTACTGAGAGGGTAGTGGATGCATGGAATAGCCTTCCAGCTGAAGTGGTAGAGGTTAACACAGTAAAGGAGTTTAAGCATGCGTGGGATAGGCATAAGGCTATCCTAACTATAAGATAAGGCTAGGGACTAATGAAAGTATTTAGAAAATTGGGCAGACTAGATGGGCCAAATGGTTCTTATCTGCTGTCACATTCTATGTTTCTATGATGAGAAAAGGTAAAGAATAGGACGAGGTGGAGATGGCAGATTGGTAAAAAGATCAAGAGAGGACACAGGAGATATGGAAAATGTGTCATGGGGGAGGTTGCAGCATGAGTAGGTTTAGAAGCGGCGGCACAGGTGAAGAAATGCTAGACTTTGTTAAGGGGACAGGCTGGGGTGGATGGAAAATGTGTCTTGTGTGGGAATTGACATTATGCAGGGTGTTCATAGGGTTGTGAGTAGGAGCATGTTAATCATGCATTTCTCTTTCCTCAGTTTGGAAGTAGATTCAGACCCCCGTGCCGCATACTTTCGCCAAGCTGAAAATGGCATGTTCGTCCGAATGGCTCTCTTGGCCACAGTGCTTGGCAAATACTGAGTATGGACATCTCAAGCAATCCATGAACTGGACCAAACCACTCCATGCACTAGTAGGGGTTAGAGCTGCAAATTAAGAGATAAATCGCTCAATCATTCTTGTTTGGAATCTCCCCTCTTTGCTAACCGAGTAGTAATGTGCACGAAAAAGGATCCTTGTTATATCACCATATACAGGAGTGTCCCAGCTACTCTCTGCTCATCCTGACTGTACTATCTCCATCTGTTATTTTACCCTGAACAAAAGCAATGGCTAATGTATTCCACAGCCCAATCCATCCTAACTGTATGATTACCATCCGCCCTGACTATTATCCCTATAAATTGGATGTTTCACATGAGTGTTAATGGGGATTCATTCTTATTGTTACCTAGGTTAGGGCCCCCCTCCTTTCCATTCTGGAGGTTCATTGTTGAGCAGTTCACTTCCTGCATGTTGGATTCAGATGAGATTTCTTAACCAGGTGTGGGTGGCTCGCAGAGACTCTTCGAGTCATAAACTCTACATTGAGCTGCACTGGTTTGGTGGTGAGATTATCTGTCAGTTTAACGGGTGAAACGAGATTAACCAGAGGAGGAGATCACCAGTGGGCCGAGCACTAAAGACACTTTTATATGAATATTACCCCGTTTCTATGGTTATTTACAAAATAATTTTAACTTCACCTTAAACTATCATCTGTAAGTTTAAAACTGTCACAAATGCTGATCGTTCATATAATCCTATTCTAAAATAAGTTTTCTAAGAGCAAGTTTAGAGGTTCATGGATCTGATGGGATTTTCCTTCATGAGTTAATATCTGCTGGTGAAGCTGCAGTCATCGCAAGGTTTCCCTGTAACCAGCTTGTTTCTAAACCAATGAGGACTGCAAAGACACCACCTCCTAGTGGTGCAGAGCATTCCCTGTACCCAGGTCGGAGGAGGGTATTTTAAGCCATCATGGGTAGGTTCAAAGCTGTATAATTGGATAGGGGTAGCCGATTTACAGGCTTGGCGGTTGGTATCAGAGCCAACCAGATAAGTCTTTGCACTATTTGTAGGCAGGGTCACAATCTGCTCGGTTCTCACTTGTAACTACATAGGTCTGAATTGAATTTCAGTCTCTAATGGTAAGGTCAGTCAGTCATCTCACTACTATCAAATACTGGAAGGGTCTTTACAGTCCTCATGGGTTGGGTCACAACTTGGTCCTCTCACTGTAATCAGATAGGGGTCTTCATGGGTGGAGTCACTGTTCAGCATTTTCACTCTCATTCGATAAGTGTGATTGGTCTTTACATTCCTTGTGGGTGGAGTCACAGTTGAGAAGGCTTAGTTTAACCAGATAGGGATGAGGAGTCCTTTAATCATTGGTGGGCTCAGTTTCTTTCTGGTTTATAGTGGATCATGCCTTGCTTCTTGCTGCTTTATTTAATTAGATGCTGGTAGAGGAACGAAGGACTGAGAAGAAAGAAATGCTGCTGGGTTTTTTATGTCAATGTGTAGGTCATGCTTCTGTGAAATTTTTCTAAATAAATGAAATGCACCCCATAAAACCTGTCTGAATCTCCGTGTGATAATGCTGGACTCTGGTCTTGCTGTGATTTGCTGGCCTTTCGGTTAACTGGACAAAGAAATGCAAAGCTAGATCACCGAGAGCAGCCATTCCTTTTATCTAGATATTCTCAGTGAGTCCGAGTGCTGCCCTGCCCAACTGTTCTGGGATCCTGTTTTATCCAATGATCCCCAGATCCTTCCATGTGGTCAGAATGAATTCTTGGCTTTAGGAAGTCTGTATCACTGGAGATAATGGGTGGGAAATATCTACCGTTCTAATAGAACGGATTAGCCTGTTTATCACCCTTTACATCTCAACCTTCCACCGGTTATCACTGGACGAGCATGTTTGGTGCCTACCACCTTCCACATTAAATCCTGCCTCTGCAATTGGTAGGTCATTCTAGAACATGTTTCTGAAAATCAATGAGACCCACAATTTCGCTGGCACCGGTGCCTGCTTACCATATTCTGCATTATATGAAACAAAGTCAGAAACTGTGAATAAATACATTTTATTAAACCGCTTTTAACACAATCCACTGCCTTGTTACCGCTGTGCTCCAGCAGGATCTGATTAGCTGCAATGTCCAGACTGTCCGCCTCCGTGATGCTTGCTCAGCATGGGCTGGAACGAGACACATTGAAAATATCATGGTGACGTTTAAACAAAAAAGACTGTGCATTCCTAGCGCAAGCTATTGCCTTTTCTGCTGCATTTTATTTATTTTGGGTGGAGTTTATTTTGATAGTATGTGGATAAAGCACCTGCAGAGTTTAGTTCACTTCTTTCCACTGCTGTTTTCATGATTTAGTAAATGCATTTTGCAAATTTTAAAGGGACATTGTCACCAAAACAACTTTAGCTTAATGAAGTAGTTTTGGTGTATCAATCATGCCTCTGCAGTCTCACTGCTCAATTCTCATCCATTTAGGCGTTAAATCACTTTTGTTTCTGTTTATGCAGTTCTAGCCGCACCTCCCCTGGCTGTGACTGACCTACTCTACGTGAAAAAATGGTTTCAATTTCAGTCAGATGTAAGTTACTTTAAAAGATTCTATTTCCTGCTCTATCAATTGAACTTTAATTATATACTGGAGATTCATGCATGGTCTAGCAGGGCGATGGGAAATTCTAAATTAAACAGAATTTGCAATAAAGGAAGTGTAAACATTAGATGACTCTTTACAGGAAGTGTTTAGGAAGGCTGCGTAAGTCAAATGCAGTAGGAGTGACCAGGGCTGTATAAACAAAGTGATTTAACTCCTAAAAGGCAGAGAATTGAGCAGTGAGACTGCAGCGTCGTGATCTATACACTGTAACTGCGTCACAAGGGATGGCCTGTGGGCTTTGATATTGAATCTCCCCTTCCTGCAGCATGTAACAGGATCATCTCACAGTAATAATATTAAATGGCGTCTGCAAACAGAGGGAAGGTATAGCGTGCGGGATGTTTGGGTGAGGCTTACCAGGCAGAACATGCACATTAGCAGGTAGGACAGGATGAGCGAGGTCATAACGAGGAGCGCCACTCCCCATCCCGGGACACCTGTAATCAGAAAAGGAGTCATGTGATCCGCGTCCATCATGTGACCAGGTCATGGTGGTCTCAGATTAAATTCAAACTGAAAGCCAAGCTAACAGAACTGGGAGCCAAGATGACTTGGAGAATTGTCCCATGTGTGCCATTTCAACTTGGATTTGAAATTCACTTTGAATTCTCACGTTTGTGAATAATCCTGGGAAACTAAATTCAAAATTCTCAGCATTTCTGAAAATGACCAAATCCTGCCTTCACTCCTTAATATTTACAGCTGGAAGGGAGAATATGACTAAATCGTATCAGACTGAAAGTCTTTAACATAAAGAATAACGGTTTCCCCTCTTCGAGGCCAAATTTAATCCCTAGGGCTCTTCATTAAAGTGAAAGTCAAAGTAAACTTAAGATTTAAGGCTAGAGTAATCAAACTGCGGCCATAGCGAACATGGAGGATTTCTCCACTGCGGCTATTTTGGCCTTAAACTCCACGGTGTATTCCCAACAATTCTCCGTTGAGTAAATAACCCCCCAACATTAACTGTGGGAATTCTGACAGACGTGGATTGTACACTGGAAGTGTGGGAACGTGGAATCTCCTTCCAGTAAAGGCTAGTGTAGTGTAGGGAGAGGAATCGGATTCTGACCGCAGCGGGGGCGCCATTTAACTTACCAATGGTTGAATTGGTTTGGGCATCTGAAACAGATTAAACAATAACAGGTTAGATTATGGACGAAGGACTGAAAGTCAATAGACAAAACAAAGGTAATATCAGGAAATAATACTCCTTCACCCCGTCTCTGCGGAGCGTTGCTCTGCTTGTTCTTCGTCTTGTTTGAGGGAATTTAAAACATGATTTTCATGCAGTAGTCCTTAAAATCATTTATTTTAACAGACTTGTAACAGTTAACCCCTTGTGTGCAAAAATATGTAATTAGGAATACAAAACAAAGTGCAAATGTCAATGAAATGCAGCAAATTATAATGAATTTCACATCGACGTGACAATGACCCAAAGCACACAGTCATGTCGTACGCGGCTTCGTAAATGGCAAATCAAGGTCTCGGTGCAGCCCAGTCAGCAAACCCATGGAAAACGGGCGGAATGAGCCAGAGACACGGGAGACCCTCTCCAAGAGAAACGTCTAGATGTGTTAATCAACTTCCATAAAGACTGCTCTAATCAATGCAAATGCTGCTTCCACAAGGTGTTACTTGGCCAGGTGTGCAGACATGCAATCAGGTGTATTATTTAAAATATTCCTTAAAATGAACCATGTGTCGATTTTTGTATTTTGGTATTGTTGATGGAAAAAGTCTGACAATATTTCTATCTTGCTATTTCAAAAATGTTAATTTCATTTTATATCCTCTACACCAGTCATGTCCACAGGTACATGTTAGAGGGAGTGGGGTATAGTGACAGTAACAGAGGGATTGAGGGCCTGCTCAGTGAGTTTACATGTTAGAGGGAGTGGGGTATAGTGACACAGTAACAGAGGGATTGAGGGCCTGCTCAGTGAGTTTACATGTTAGAGGGAGTGGGGTATAGTGACACAGTAACAGAGGGATTGAGGGCCTGCTCAGTGAGTTACATGTTAGAGGGAGTGGGGTATAGTGACACAGTAACAGAGGGATTGAGGGCCCTGCTCAGTGAGTTTACATGTTAGAGGGAGTGGGGTATAGTGACACAGTAACAGAGGGATTGAGGGCCTGCTCGTGAGTTTACATGTTAGAGGGAGTGGGGTATAGTGACACAGTAACAGAGGGATTGAGGGCCTGCTCAGTGAGTTTACATGTTAGAGGGAGTGGGGTATAGTGACACAGTAACAGAGGGATTGAGGGCCCTGCTCAGTGAGTTTACATGTTAGAGGGAGTGGGGTATAGTGACACAGTAACAGAGGGATTGAGGGACTGCTCAGTGAGTTTACATGTTAGAGGGAGTGGGGTATAGTGACACAGTAACAGAGGGATTGAGGGCCTGCTCAGTGAGTTTACATGTTAGAGGGAGTGGGGTATAGTGACACAGTAACAGAGGGATTGAGGGCCCTGCTCAGTGAGTTTACATGTTAGAGGGAGTGGGGTATAGTGACACAGTAACAGAGGGATTGAGGGGCCCGCTCAGTGAGCTTACATGTTAGAGGGAGTGGGGTATAGTGACACAGTAACAGAGGGATTGAGGCCCTGCTCAGTGAGTTTACATGTTAGAGGGAGTGGGGTATAGTGACACAGTAACAGAGGGATTGAGGGTCCTGCTCAGTGAGTTTACATGTTAGAGGGAGTGGGGTATAGTGACACAGTAACAGAGGGATTGAGGGTCCTGCTCAGTGAGTTTACATGTTAGAGGGAGTGGGGGTATAGTGACAGTAACAGAGGGATTGAGGGCCTGCTCAGTGAGTTTACATGTTAGAGGGAGTGGGGTATAGTGACACAGTAACAGAGGGATTGAGGGCCTGCTCAGTGAGCTTACATGTTAGAGGGAGTTTGTATAGTGACACAGTAACAGAGGGATTGAGGGCCCTGCTCAGTGAGTTTACATGCTAGAGGGAGTGGGGTATAGTGACACAGTAACAGAGGGATTGAGGGCCTGCTCAGTGAGTTTACATGTTAGAGGGAGGGGGTATAGTGACAGTAATAGAGGGGTTGAGGGCCCTGCTCAATGAGCTTACATGCTAGAGGGAGTGGGGTAAAGTGTGACAGAGGGATTGAGGGCCCTGCTCAGTGAGTTTACATGTTAGAGGGAGTGAGGTATAGTGACACAGTAACAGAGGGATTGAGGGCCCTGCTCAGTGAGTTTACATGTTAGAGGGAGTGGGGTATAGTGACACAGTAACAGAGGGATTGAGGCTCCTGCTCAGTGAGGTTACATGTTAGAGGGAGTGGGGTATAGTGACACAGTAACAGAGGGATTGAGGGCCTGCTCAGTGAGTTTACATGTTAGAGGGAGTGGGGTATAGTGACACAGTAACAGAGGGATTGAGGGCCCTGCTCAGTGAGTTTACATGTTAGAGGGAGTGGGGTATAGTGGCACAGTAACAGAGGGATTGAGGGCCCTGCTCAGTGAGTTTACATGTTAGAGGGAGTGGGGTATAGTGACACAGTAACAGAGGGATTGAGGGCCCTGCTCAGTGAGTTTACATGTTAGAGGGAGTGGGGTATAGTGACCCAGTAACAGAGGGATTGAGGGCCATGCTCAGTGAGTTTACATGTTAGAGGGAGTGGGGTATAGTGACACAGTAACAGAGGGATTGAGGGCCCTGCTCAGTGAGTTTACACGTTAGAGGGAGTGGAGTATAGTGACAGTAACAGAGGGATTGAGGGCCCTGCTCAGTGAGTTTGCATGTTAGAGGGAGTGGGGTATAGTGACACAGTAACAGAGGGATTGGGGGTCTGCTCAGTGAGTTTACATGTTAGAGGGAGTGGGGTATAGTGACACAGTAACAGAGGGATTGAGGGCCCTGCTCAGTGAGTTTACATGTTAGAGGGAGTGGGATATAGTGACATAGTAACAGAGGGATTGAGGGCCAGCTCAGTGAGTTTACATGTTAGAGGGAGTGGGGTATAGCGACACAGTAACAGAGGGATTGAGGGCCTGCTCAGTGAGTTTACATGTTACAGGGAGTAGGGTATAGTGACACAGTAACAGAGGGATTGAGGGCCCTGCTCAGTGAGTTTACATGTTAGAGGGAGTGGGGTATAGTGACACAGTAACAGAGGGATTGAGGGCCCTGCTCAGTGAGTTTACATGTTAGAGGGAATGGGGTATAGTAACACAGTAACAGAGGGATTGAGGGCCCTGCTCAGTGAGTTTACATGTTAGAGGGAGTGGGGTATAGTGACACAGTAACAGAGGGATTGAGGGCCCTGCTCAGTGAGGTTACATGCTAGAGGGAGTGGGGTATAGTGACACAGTAACAGAGGGATTGAGGGCCCTGCTCAGTGAGTTTACATGTTAGAGGGAGTGGGGTATAGTGACACAGTAACAGAGGGATTGAGGGCCCTGCTCAGTGAGTTTACATGCTAGAGGGAGTGGGGAATAGTGACAGTAACAGAGGGATTGAGGGCCCTGCTCAGTGAGCTTACATGTTAGAGGTAGTGGGGTATAGTGACACAGTAACAGAGGGATTGAGGGCCTGCTCAGTGAGGTTACATGTTAGAGGGAGTGGGGTATAGTGACACCGTAACAGAGGGATTGAGGGCCCTGCTCAGTAAGTTTACATGTTAGAGGGAGTGGGGTATAGTGACACAGTAACAGAGGGATTGAGGGCCTGCTCAGTGAGGTTACATGTTAGAGGGAGTGGGGTATAGTGACCCAGTAACAGAGGGATTGAGGGCCTGCTCAGTGAGTTTACATGTTAGAGGGAGTGGGATATAGTGACACAGTAACAGAGGGATTGAGGGCC